ATTCTTGCGACAAGTGAATATTTGCGCATTTGTCTTTTGCCCACAGCATGGGCGAGGCAGGCATGTCCTTTGGGAGGGGATGCAGTGGGTGGAGTGGTGTGGTGTGGTGTGGTGTCCTGCCGATTGTCGACTGTCGACTGTCGATTGTCGAGGGTGTCATTTGGTAATTGTTACAAGCTGCCGCATATTTGGACAGTCAAGCACGACGCACTCAAAACAAACAAATGAGTGCTGGATCAACCCTCGCAACAGGACATGCCTATCCACATCCTTAACATGCTGTAAGCGGATACGCACAAAAAGACACAGCAGCAGCAGCAGCAGCAGCAGCAGTCAGGCAGGATCATAAACAGATGAGGGTAGTGCGTGCTGCGTGTTGCGAGTTGCGTGTTGCATGGTGGCGTGGCGGGGGGGGTGGGGGGGTAGTCAGGGGCTGCAGCTACAAATGTCATTAGTTTACAGTTGTCTGATTTCATTTCAATATTGTGATCGATGATGACATCGTCTCCTGGTGCTCTAAGAGGCTTTGCCAACGGGGCAAGTCCAATGGAAATCATCGACCCAAACTAGCCACAGATAATGTCAATGTTAGTCCAAAATACACCCTGAATAACAATGGATAAGCAATCACAACTGGTTAGTTATCATTCAAGCAGAAGAAATCTATATAAAATCAGTTTCTTTTTTCTTTTAAAGAAAAGAAACAAAACAATTATGGGAATTACTTTAATCGAATCGAATATTTGTTGCTTCGAACTTATTGCATAATCAAGTCATAATTTTGTAAAGAATTAAATAAAATAAATATATTAATGACTTGAATTTATTTGTTCATTTAATAGCATAACGGAACACAATATCAAACAAATATTTGGAACCACTTCATAAGTCTGGAACCGGATCCGAAATACGATTTTCGATTATTCTTAGCACTACTTTTCCACTCGCAAAGAGAAAATATTAATGCTGTAAGCAGATTAAATATATGAATATAAATTTATATATATATTATATATATACATATATACATTTATAAATTAGACTAGTCAGTTTTAGTGGCGCATGAAAACACTTAACATTTGGAATAGTACATTTATTATATCATTAGAAACTGGAACACTGAGCTGACTGCATTTTATGATCTTCCAAATGATTCCCAAAATGGCCCTCAAATGTACCGCAAGATGTTGCTTGTTTTGTTGTTGTTGCTTGTTTTGTTGTTGTTGTTGTTGCTTGTTTTGTTGTTGTTTGTTGTCTGTTGTTCTGCTGTTCCGCTGCCGCCCCCTCGAGCTTTCACAAATATGAAAAACCGGCGACATCTGCTGATGCTCTGCTCTCGTTGTTGTTGGAGAGCATTCGATATGATTTGTGATTTACAACAGGTTTCAATTAACAGAAAGAAAAGAAGCCACTGCAAGGCAGTGTACACCCCACCCCACCCCACTCCCACTGCCCCCCCCACCCTCTGCTGATAGAACCCAGCCAGCCACCGCCTGGAACAGGCCTCCCCATTCCTGCTGAGAAAGACTCTTCGTCTGCACTAAAACTGGGTATTTTCGTTCGCTTACTGCACATGTAACGCCTGCAGAGCGAGCTCGACTTGAAGATACCCTGTAACGCAGCAGTTTGTTGCGATATAAATATACTTTTTGGCTAACAAAATCTGCATTTCTTATTTATTATTATATGCAATTTGTACAATTAATCAAAGGTTGATCTAATCCCAGTCATGAATATATATACCTTATGGGATCGGATATGCTTTGCTCTGCTTGTGCCTCACTGCGTTTAGGGTATTCAAATGGATCTGATCAGGTATATATATTTTAATACATATAATACTAAGTATTTAAAAATATTAATAATATTAATTATTAAATGTAAGCATATTCACTAGTCTATTTATTTTCTTCGTTTTGTTTTTCTGAGTGTATCTTCAGTTTTCATTTATTTATTTTGTCTTCTTTTTTTTGCATTTTGTAAAAGTGAGCAGCTGAGAGGCGTTGACAGGGACATAAATAAAGATCTTTTAAGTATCAAGTAATGCTAGACGAATAGTTTGAAGTTTGATTTTGCTCCCCCTCTCTCTATCTCTCTCTCTCTCTCTCGCTCTCTCTGTTTTACTGTGTGTGTGTGTGTAAGCGGAGATTCCCGAGATGTGCTCCCCAGGGGCAAGAACAAGAAGAGCAGTTGGCTGGTTGCTGGTTGCTGGTTGCCGGTTGCAGTTGCAGTTGCAGTTGCAGTTGCTGGCTGCCTATCGACTAATTGAAGACAAGGCGGCAACGCTGGCGGCATAAATTAGACAACAAGCCAAACAACAAGAGTGCCATTAAGTGGATACCCCGTAAAAGTGGTGGGGGCAATGGAAATGTCTGATTGATTGTTAAATGTGTATGAAATGTCGCCGCGACATATTTCAATTAAACATGCGCCAGCGACAAAGTGTCGAGACATTTCACTGCAGCCGTCATACAGCATGGATACCCTGTAAATTAATACCCAGCCATTGATTGGCTCAGCAACTCGAAAAGTTCATTCGACAAATGTGCTTCGAATAGTTTGGTTTTCAATTTCCAATTAAATTGCCCCCAACTCAATTCCACAAAAACTGTTGGAAACTGATTTTTCAATTTTTCAGCAACAGCTGCTGAGTAAAACTGGAAACCAGCATAGAACTTAAAGCCGATCCGAATCGTATATTGCTAGAAAGCTCCGACAAATGTTATCAGAATATCGAATATTTTTCAGTATTCGGTTTCTCCAGGCTCTTTTCAAGTCATCAGTTTCTGTGACTTGTTCTTAAAATCTTTTTGCCAAGTTGCGGTTCCGGTTCCGTTTCCGCTTCCGGTTTGAGACATATTTTTATTTACAATTCAATTATTTTCGTACAATCTTTTATTGATACAAAACAATCGAATTTTTATTATTATTATTTTTCTTTTTGCATTTGCACATTTTATTTCATTGAATTAAATATTTCTTTTGTAATATATTTTATTAATATTCGATTTTTTTGTATTTACATTTACTGAATGTATTTCATTTAATTTAAAATTGTTGAGTTTTTCTAAATCCTAAGTAATGTTATTTTATTTATTATTTATTTATTTCATTTGAATAATATTATTAAAATGTATATAATTTATTGATTGACTGTGGCTAAGCCAGACTCACTTTGAATTATGGCGTTTATCATATTGTTTGCCAATTACAGAGCATCTGCTAGTCGTTGTCGCTTGCATGTTAATCATGTGCATAATCTTTGGGGCCCATTAACTTCCAATTGGAATTTGTTTAAATTCAAACATAATCCGCTCATAAACATTTTGTTTGCTGCCACTCCTCCCCGCCTTTCTCTCTCTCTCTCTGAGCAGCTACCATAAATCACCAGCTGTATTTTGAAGGATTTTCCTCTGCCTGAACTCAACCCAACCACCCCCTCTGCCTCTGCTTGGACACGTGTTTTAGTGCGCACAGCGCACTTAAGACTCCGCAACGAAATGCTTTGCAACACTGGCCAATTTCATCCAGCTGGCGTTCATCATTCGCTCACTCAAAAAATCTAATTTCAAGCACCAAAGAGCACAAGCCCAGGACGAAGGGGCACGGGATGGAGTGTGTGGAGTGGGGGTGTGGCAAGGGAAACAGGTCGCAAGGACAGTGTTCCACATCGCTAGCTTAACGATTTTAACTGCTGCTGTCAGTGGAGTGGAGTCGACTCCCAGTTACACACTTTGATGTCTTAATGCACGAAAACGAGAAAAGAAATATAAAATAGACAACAACAAAAATAATAACACCCAATCCCGAAATCCCGAAAAAGCCAAAGTCAAATCCCAATTCGTGAACCACCCTGCTGCCCCTGCTGCATGCGATTTTAATCAAATGGATTTGTTTCTATTTTCTATCTAATTCGACTTCTGCTTTGGCTTCTGCTTTGGCTTCGGCTTCTGTTTCTCATCGTCTTCGTCAGCGTCCTCTTTGCGTCTGCTTTGTCACCCCCCAAAAATAGACAACATGTCAGCCCCTCCCCACGCCCCCCCCCCCTCACGTCTTAGATAGGTGACAGTGGTGGGGAGAGGGGTGGTTGTTAGGGGGAGCGGGAGCGGGGGAGGGGGTTCGTTTTTATTTATTCGTTTTTTTTTCTTGAGGAATTAAGTGAGCCTAGTTGCAACAATAATTCACAATATATCCAAGTTCACAGATCTCCCAACAACTGACAGATGGGTTATTGATCTGAATCTGAATATGTATATATATATATATATGTGTGTGTGTGTGTGTGTATGCATATGCATATGTGTGTGGGATCATAGAGAAAATAAATTAGAAATATTATTTACAGTTGTTGAGTAGATAAAAAGTGAAATAGTTTTTAATTTCAAATACAAAATTCGCAAAAGCTTGAAAAATAATTCACAATTTACAAAACAATTCACAATTATATCAAATATTTTATCCATGCAAAATCGAGTTAAAACATTAAAAAAAAAATTTTAATTCAAATAAAACCGACAAACGTTAGGTGTGAGTCTGTGCTAATTCCAAGATACATATATTAGCAAAATTATTGCCTAATATACTGGGAATAGACTGAGCTTTAAGCTATAAGCAGTGACACAAGCCAAATGCAAAAGCTTGAAAACATTAACTTTGCCGCCCCGAAGTATGCAATGTTAGTTTACAAATCCTGTACACACCACCAACTTAGTTGATAATAGCACCATAAAGCACAAAGCAGTCCAGCAACAAAACTCAACCTTGGCTGTGCTGCAAAATGTCGAAGTGTGTGCGCGCCAAACTATCGATATCGCGCGCATGGTTTAATGCCAAATATCGATATATCGATCGGTACAACAGTGTGCAAGCAGTGTAAGCAATAACAAGCAGCAGCGTGTTACTTTAACAGACAGTTGTCAGTCGGTTTTTTGTACTCGTTCGTTGCGGGCGAACTGCGCTCGGCATTTTTTTTTGTGTTTTTCGAATTAATTATTTTCTTGACGCGCTTGAAATTCAATTGTGGTTCGTTCAACTGACGCCCAGTTTATTTGAGTGCATATATTTAAACAAACAAAAAAGAGAAAGAGAAAGATTGCAACGATAAAATGTTAAACAACAAAAAAAGAGCAGAAAAGTGAAAAGCAAATTTTTCTGCTACGCTTGAGAACCAAAACGAAACGAAACACAACACAAAAAAGTTGTAAGAAACGCAAGACGAAAGCGAATAGCTCACAAGAGCAACAAGAAGAAGAAGTCGAGAAAAAGATCATGCGTGCTTAACGACGACGGCGACGACGACGCTAGCAACACACTCACACAAACACAGGCACAAACACATGCAGCTGGCAAGTTGTTAGAGGGGGGGGCAGCAGAGTGACAACAACTAGTGCCAAACAATGCAAGAGATAGACAAGAAGAGCAGCGCAGCTAACAGAAGCAGAAGCAGCGCAGCCAACAAGCACAGTATTTTCACATAATTGACAACGAGCGCCTGCAAACGTGAGCATTACAACAACAATAACAAGACCGAGAAGCCTCACAAGAGAATAGTCAGCAAATTAGACACAAAAAAATCGAAGAAAAATAAATAAGACTTATCACAACACAACAACAACAATAACAAAAATAGTGTGTATGTATGTATTGTTCTTGTGTTAGTATTATTGCACCCAGACAAGAAAGCTCTTTGCTTGTTGTTTGTAAAAAGGCAACAGGAGTTTGAGATTTAATTGAAGAATCCTACATTATTGCTACCAAGCAAAAAAGGAAGGTGTTACAAAAAACAGTGTTACTGTGCAAAAGTATTACTGCAAAAGCGTCTCAAAGGAGGCAGGCACAGAATATAAATAAAACAGTGTTGTGTGCAGCAAGGAAGTGCTATAGCCGAACAAAAAAAGCATTTTCTTCAAACCACAAACAGTGTTGTGTGCAGAAGCAGCAAATAAAAGGAGGTCAAACAAGGAAGCGTTTGATTCGGAACAGGAAAACAGTATTGTGTGCACAAGCAAATAAAAATAAGTTTCTCAGCCAACAAAAATAAACTGCAAACAGTGCTGTGTGCGCACACATCTACCACAAGTGTAAGCTCAACCCAAAGCACGCTCTCAATTGAACGAAGGATCAGCCATTCTCTCTCTCCCTCACACTCTCTCTCTGCATTGAACGACGAAGCTTTGCAAAGATGAAAAGCTTTTGGTTGCTGTTAACATTACCGTTACTGCTACTACTACTCCAGCTGAGCCACGTACAAAGTGTAGCAGAAGCGGACAAAGAAGAAGAGAATGTTACAATAACAGCAACAACAACAGCAGCAACTGCAACCACAACAATTGCAACAGCAGCATCTGGTCGACCACCGCCGCCGCGCATAATGTTGAACAAGTGTTGCCACCAGGGTGAATATTTGAATGCAACAACGCTGGCCTGCATCGCTGGCGCCTCCGAGTCGTGGATGCCACTGGTGTATTTGACGCAACAGTTGCGCTTCTTTGAGCCCAAAGGAGGCAAGCCGCGCTTCATCAAACTGCTGCCAAATGTGCGACCCGACTGTGGCATGCAACAGCAGCAACGGGAACTGTTCAGCAGTCGTCAGGCGAATGTGGTCATCTTCCCCAATGGCACCATGTCGGTGCGGGAGCGTGGAATACTCGTTCAGCCCAAGAACTACTGTATCGATCAAGATGTGGCCTGGGTTTGCCTCGAACCGGAAGTGAACAAGGATGAAACGCACCTAGTCAATGGCAACTCTGCTGCTGATGCTGATACTGATCCTGCTGCTACTGCTCCTAATCCACCCCCGGCTGCCGCTCCTTCAGCAATAGCAACTCCTTTGCGTCTGCGCAAATGTTGCGGCAAATGGGGCATCTACGCGAGCAGCAGCAAAAGTTGCAGCCTTGCCCCTGCGCCAGCACAGGATGGCCAACTAATCCTCAGTCCGAAATTGCAGTTGGGACAATATCAGACCACGTACGGATTGCCCGAGTGTTTGGGCAATGCCAGTGGCTATGCCATAGCCGGAGATTGGCATGAGGCAACATTGAATCGCAGCACGGGCGCCTTGCAACTTAGCCACACCAATCTGAGTGCAACGCAATATTGCCTCGAGCACACCGAGCGACCAGGTGAGGTGAAGATAATCGCCTGCACCCAGCACTTTAATCACGATCCCAGCAATCCGAACAACAACAACAATAACATATCCTTTGGGGTTGAGGGTAATCTGCAGAAGGCTGTGCTTGATGTGGGCATCCTGATCTCGATTGTCTTTCTGGCTGCCACTCTTGTCGCCGGCTACATGCTGCCGGCTGTGCATCATGCGTTGCACTGGCGTTGCCAGATCTATTACGTCTTCTGTCTGCTGCTCGGCAAGATTCTGCTGGCCATCGAGGAGCTCAACAAGAGCTTAATACCAGGGTCAGCGAGCTGTTTCCTTTTGGCCATTGGAATGCAGTTCTTCTTTCTGTCAGCCTTCTTTTGGCTGAATACGATGTGCTTCAACATCTGGTGGACGTTCCGGGACTTTCGTCCCAGTTCGCTGGAACGTAATCAGGAATCGTTGCGTCTCCGGCTGTATTCGGCTTATGCATGGGGTGTTCCACTGCTCATCTGTGCGATTGCCGCCTGTGTGGATCAGCTGCCGGAGACGGAGACATCCCTGCTGCGACCGGGCTTTGGTGAGGTCTTCTGCTGGTTCAACAATCGCTCACTGGCCATATTCGCCTACTTTTACGGACCCATCGGACTGCTGCTCTGCGCCAATATTGTGCTCTTCATATCGACAACGCATCAGTTGACGTGTGGCCTGTGGAAACGGGATGATGTCAAGTCAACGTCGGAGAAATCGGCGCTGGGCAAGGTCTGCTTGAAGCTGGTCGTTGTGATGGGCGTCACCTGGATATGGGACATCATCTCGTGGATAGTGGGTGGACCGCATGGTGCCTGGCTGGTCACAGATCTGATTAATGCCCTTCAGGGTGTCTTCATCTTCATTGTGGTCGGCTGCCAACCGCAGGTGTGGACCGCCTGCAAGCGTCTCTGTTGCCCGAGACTGCGACACGATATCACCAATACCACAAATGGGGTGCAGCACTCGAGCAGCTCCCAGGGTCTGCCCTCGATGGCCAATGGCACCGAATTCACCCAGAACACCTCGATGAACATCACAACGACAACAACGCCGACGACAACAACGGCGACTACAAATGCAGCCCCAGCTACACCCACATTTGAGAAGTCATCGCCAACTCCCCAAACAATTGCTGCTGGCAACAGTTCAAGTTTGAGTTCGAGTCCAAATGCAAATGCACATTCGATGCCAACTCTGGCGACAACTGTTACAAAGATACCAATGGAGACTATTTGCTAAGGTGAGTGTTCAGCATATATAAACATGAGATATCTTCACACACACAACCACACACACACATATATATATATATATATTTATCTCACACTTATCAGATAGATAAGCTTGCGGCTATTTTTCAAACAAACACTTGTCACAGGTATATCTTGCAATCGAAGACACACCTTAGCCACATATACTCATGTATATATCTGTATATGTCATGTGTATCTCTATATATATATATATATCCAACTTTTATCTTGGGAGATACGCAGAGTTATAGATAAGACAATTTCTCTTCTCATTTCATATGAAGTTTCTCTTGCCACAGTTAGCAAGATGGATCTTAAAACTAAATAGATAGAAAATGGTTAGAAATTGTATCATGAAGTTGTGCAAAAGTATGTAACAAGCAACTGGAATATATTATTTGTAACATCATGTTATCGATAATAACAGTCCCCCTTTGGCGAGTATGGATACAAATCGATTTCTCACGCACATTATTGATCATCTGATCAACAGATATTGTTAAGCAATATGTATTTAAAAATACCATGCGACCAACTATATATTCTAAATCTATGCTCGGACGATCTCTCGCAAAATAATCTTAATTTAATGAGAACTGAACCATTTTATAGAATGATGCAATACATTCCAGTTCTACTCAGTGATTTATACTTTATACTTACACATTCAGAGATTTTATCTTCATATTGAGTTACTTTTATTCGTTGATATCTTAGGGGAAGTCTGCAATTACAAGGTCTGTTTCGATTAATAGTTGAAATCTGGTTGCTGCAACTTAAGTCTGTGCAATATACCAGGCAGGGATTTGATTAAAATGGTTTTTTTTTAGGGCACTTGAAATGCCATTACTAATGGTAAAGAATTCGCAAATGTGTTGCTTTATTTGAGGAGCGTGAGTCAATTTGCAACGCCCACTGAGTAAGCGCTGCTGGAATGCGTGCCCAGGCATGTGGAATAAGCATGCTTGCATGCATTCCCTGTGGGAATATCACAATTAGAGACCATATGCCCCGAATGCAGACAGGAATTACATTGAAGATCTATCTTAACAGATATATATATATATATATATATATATATATATTGAGAAATATATAGAATTTCCAACAGTTTTTTGGGCGAGGCGCCGCGGCGCTTGTGGCATACTTTTACTGTTGCAACTAGTTGCCTGCCGCCTGCCTGCTGTTGTTGCCTGGTTCTTTGTTGCCACATCATTGTTGCATTGTTTAATTGCTTTACGACCATGTGCTATGCGACCAAGTTAACAATTTCCTCTTCTTCGCGGTTATCTTCCTCTTCCTCATATTTGTCTTGCATTGCGGGTCCACTTGAAAAATGCCATAAAATTTGTGAAATTGTGAAATGTTTTTCATTGTGTTTTTTTCGCTGGAAAACCAAAACGGCGTCACAGTCGTCCAGACGCCGCCGTTGGCAATTTGGACATTTCCTGTTAAGATTTCCACATGGCCATAAAATAATCAACGCAACCCTTGACATGCACACACATACACACACACACGCGCACAAAATCCCGATCCTCTTGAAATCGAGCAAAACATTAACCCAAAAACTGAACAAATATTCACAGCACAAACTTCAGATAAGCGAGAAAACCCGACTTAATCTATCTAAAACTTCATTCCCTCCCCCCTCCTCCAGCACATACCCCTCTTCCAAGTTCCCTCTGTGGCGAGGTTATCATTGTCAATTACAATTCAATATAAATACAAATTATGAAACGCTTTTCCGTAGACTATCCCCAATTTCAGCTAATTCAAGTTCGTTATTCAAAGTGCTTAATCAAAAGAAAAAGTTTACCCAAAACATGCCATTTTCAAAATGAAGATGCTGCTCTTTGAGTCATAATTAAACTTAAATTGATAAAGTTTTACACCTTTTTCCAATTTTAATAATGATATGAAAATTAATGAATTGCATGGGCGAAGGCTCAAATAAATGATGATGATACTTCCGGTAGATATATCTGTAGTCGCTGGTCCGCTTACTTGTCTGCTATTTGAATATACCCTCTCTATTGCACAGTTTCGAATAGGGTATAACCAGGAGAAAACCAAAATGAAATCGAAATTGGAATCGAAATCGAAATTAAAATGATGCAAAATGTTTTTTTTTTTTTCTGACTGCGTCACTGCCTGCCTCAAAAACAGAAACAGATGTCCAGCTGCAGCATGGTGTGCTGCCAGGTTGTGTGTGAGGGGTGGGGTATGGTATGGTGGAGTGGTTGGTGAGGGGCGGGGGGTTGGCTGAAGGTCTGTTTACCAAGCTAATAATCAACGCTGTTCGAAATGACTCTTTGCGTGCTTTTGCTGCTTTTGTATTTTGTGTTTATTGAGGTGGTTTTACCCAAAAGACTCTCAGTCTACTCACATTAAACACACACACGCACACTCACACACACTGTTCGCGGCTCCAACCTGCCTTTAGGCCATTAACGTCTCGGACTCTTACGCAAGCGACCTTTTTGGGCAAACTCAAAATAAAAAAAAAAATAAAAAAAAAACAAAATCCGGGCTCAAAACTGTGCCTGGGTCAAGTGTGTAAATATGTATGTATATATATATATATATAATCTACTTAAGAGCTCTTTCAACTTGTTCCACACTTACCTTTTTCCATCTTGCAACATTTACTAGACTCTTGCGGAACCTTCAATTAGCATATATATATATATACATTATATTAATGAGATTTAATTACTGTGGAGCGATTAACAAATTATATTATCAGTTAATGTTAATTGAGTAATTCTATTCACATTTTATCGAACCTGGGCAGAAGTTCAAAATACAGTATTCAAACCCGGTTCTTAACTTTTCCCCTTTGAGATACAATCGAACTTTGCTTTATCGAATTTTCTGTGAGTCTAAACAAATTAAGATAGAATTCCATTCCAGCTCCATAAATGCATAGCTGGTTATTTTTAGACCGAACACAAACACCTTGGTACTATTGACTAATTTAGGAGGTGTCTTTATGGGGTTTGGTAATATTAAGTAATCTTATGCAATGGCTTTCACAACTAGGTTGCAATAAATGTATTTATATTGTTAACTTTTACTCATTTTCTATATGCAATTCGACTGGGTTATGCGTAGTTTTACAGTTGGAAGAACACTGACTATTATTTTAAAGATTACGATTAAAGTTTTGAACTAGTTCGAATTTTTTGCCGGTCGTCGGTTGTTGTTATGTGGTACAAATTTTGCAAAACCAAATAATCAGCTATTATTTTGGCTAGTAGTTTTTTCCAATAATTTTCTAAATGTTTACTGAGTTAGTTAATGGTATTACAGTGTTTACAGTATCTTCTCCTGGAATTCGCACCCATTTATTCAGTAGTCAAATGATTCAAGTGTATTTTGAAGTGCGTTGTGCGTTTCCTTTCTCAGTTAACTTAAAAACACAAACAACAACCCTATTGTTTACTGTAATCAAATTCAGTTGGAATGTGTTTACTCAATGTGCCAGAGAGAGAGAGAGAGAGAGAGGGAGAGAGAATATAGACTGACTGACTACGACATGAATGGAATTTATTTAAGGGTTGCTCAATTTTGTTTGGGTTTTAGTCTGTTTTCATTTCTGGTTGTTTGTAAACAATAACGAGCACCTCCATTTACCAACATTTCTGCCTGCTGCAATTTGTTTACCAATTTTGATTTCGACATTTTTGGAGCAGTCTGGCACCACTGTGCAATTTAACTTTACTCTCGACTAATGCACGCAGCTGCGAATGCAATTTCTTTTGCTTCCTTTTCGTTTCTGTTTTTTTTTCTGTGCTTTTTTCTTCTGTTTTTTTTTTCCTTTACCTTTTGCATAATCCCTGGACAGCGTGTCACCGTCACGCTCTCAGCTCGACACAGCCGGCACATCCCTGGGCACCAGCACTGAGCAGCATCCCAGCAGATGATGTCGATCCACGCCACGTTGCACTTAAAGCGCTCCGCCTAAATGATCCAAAATACGGCTGCTGGGCATACACGGCGAGAAAAGATAGATAACTCTCTTAGATAAAAATAAATCAAACATAATAGATACAAATTTTAATTAGGATGTCAATCCGATTCTAAATTCTGTCAAGTTCGATTCTAAATGGACTAATAGTATTGGTTCTTGTAATAGATTCTTTTAAAAGAAAATGTTGAAATGTTTCTTCATGGTACTCTATGTGTAAATTAGCCATTCTTTTTTATATTTTTATATTAAAATACATATTAAAGAAAGCTTAAATGTGCTTAAGGTTGTCTTAAATTGTACCTAAATTAATTAGAAACGCTTAATTCGCCTCTCTTCTGACAATGCTACTTAGTAGTAGCATTACTTAAACATTTTGTTGGGATCATATTTCTTGCAGTGCAGAGCTAGTGGCAGGTAGTGCTGCTATCGGGTAGCGGCAAGGGGTAGCGGCAGCCACAGCGACAGCATCTTTCGTCAAGCGCTACGCGCATATCAGCGTTTTCTTTTTATGCCACACAAATGTGTGTGTGTGTGTGTGCTTGTATCTTGCGAATGCGAATGTATCTTATAAATACGACTGCGAATGCGAATGTGGAGTTCGAGTTCGAGTTCGACGAGTACCCGCCGAGTACGTGCTTGCATCTTTTCACTGCTCTTTGTCAAATTAGCGACAAAAAAGAAGAAGAAAAACAGCACAAATGCGAAACGTCCATCATTCACACACACACACTCATTTACACACACGTGTGTGTGTGTATAAATCTATATATACATATATAAATATCTTTGTATACAAGTAGACGTAGCTCCGTTCATTAATTGAGTTTAGCGGCAATTTTAATTTATACGTTCTGCTTTTTTTTCAAGTTATAATTGCAATGTGGCCCATTTGCATTTTACGCTCGATGTTTTTAAATGCCCTTCTACCAAGTATATTACAACTTTATGACAAGCTGTGCTGACAAATATGAGAAATCGCTCGACATGTCGAAATTTTTATAGTCGAATGCCCAAGTAATAAAATTGTTGCTAAACTAAAATTGGTCGGTAAGCATATGGAATTGTTTTGTGGTATTTTTTTTCTTTCTTTGCTAATTTGCACTGATAAGCAACTCTGCGTTCCCAGTTCCTTTACATTACTCAAACAAATTAGGTTCCTAACTTCTTAGAGATTGATGAGAATTTTTCTTTTCAATACAAACCACAAAGAATTTATTTGTGCGCCTCGTCTTCTCTCTATTTAAGATCTAGAAAGATAAATTATCTGAAAGGGTTAATATAGTTTAAGCAAGATTCTTACAATTACTAAAATTGTTGCATTTCTCAGAACTTTCCAAGCTAACCTCGCACTTACATAAAATACGTAAATATATTTGTAATCGTTTGCTGCCCTTTGGTTTCCTCACTTTTTTTGCAGAAAGCTGAGACGAGCGAAGACAATGCAAAAGTAAACCGGGCAACAACAATGCAGAAGTAGCAGCAGCAAGCCCGACAGCAATGCTAATGAAGGCAGGCCGACAACAGCAGCAGCAACCACAACAACAACCACAACAGCACAGAGAGTGGTCAGACTTGCGCAATAGCAAACGTAAAAGCTACAACACCAACAAAAACAGTTAAACATTCAAGCACGCGCATTGACCGACCTGCCAATGACAACAGCAACAACAACAACAACTGCCCAGCCCAACCACAGCTGGCCAAGCTTTTTCGTAATGTGAGTGTATTTGAGTTGTGTATGTGTGTGTGTGTGTAAGTGCTTTTGACAATCAGCTTTTAGCCGAGGCGACAAAAGACGGACAATTACATATGCATGTAGAAATGAATCTAAGTGTGTGTGTGTGTGTGTGTGTGCATGCGACAGCATTTAACTTGAGCGAAGGCTGGCACAAAAGAAATGTACAAATAACGGTGAGTGCAATGCAAATGTGTTGGGCAAGGCAATGCAAGAAGAAGAAAGCGAGTGCGTCAGTGAGTGAGAGCGAGAGAAAGAGAGACAACTTTAGCATATTTACCATTCTAATTGAAAAGTCAAAGTCAGTGTTGCAAAACGACTTGCGGTGTGTGTAGGCGGCCAAAGAATGTGGTAGAAATAGTAATAAATACAATAGCAAAATGCAAGACAAAGCGTTGCCATTGTTCACAACAAGAAAAATACTTTCAAATGGCAATTCACAACACCAACAACAACAACAACATAAGTTCAGGCAATGTGCTTTCTAAGCATTTATGCATGAATGTATTAAGTATTATTGTTTGTCTGTTGTTTAGCCAAACGTCAGCAGCAGCAGCAGCCACAAGGAATTTATTGTTGAGGCATTTTTACTCGAGTTGGGGTTTTATTTTTTTCATAGTCGTAGTTGTTGTTGCGCTTCTTCTTCCGCTGCTGTTATTTTCTTTTCAAGTGTTTCGAGTGTGAGAAATACGCCAGCATTCAAATTAGCCAGAATCTGATTGGAATTGTGGTTGGCCTGCTTGCCTAGCATTTTACGTCATCGCCACACACACACACACACACACATGTGTTTGTGCATGTCGCTGTTTTCTGTCATTTCAATTGCTTCATTATTTTGGCATTTCTTTTTCTGACTTCCGCTATGAACGTCAATTTTCTTTCGTCACTTTACAACCCTGCCCAATGCTCCATACAGAACTGCAGTTAAGATAAATCCATTTTATATACAAATTGCAAACAACTTAATAGCACCAATCTCTCACAGCTAATTTTTTCAAAGCTGTCTATTTCCAATTTTTAAGTTTAGATGTGAAAGAATACGCTTTAAAAAAAAAGTGAGCAAGAAAGAAACCATTATTTCATTCACCGTTTTCAAAATATATACATATATGTGCACTTATAATTATGAAAATTAGAAATAAATAAAGTCTGTAAGTGGTGATATTATTAATTATATAGCTGCTTTTTGGCAAATGAAAAAAATATACATACATATATTGAAAAGAATTCCATGAACAATATTAACTTTACTTTTCCCCCTATAAATTAAAGTTAGTACTGTTCCTACCGCTACTAAACAATATATTACAAAAGAACATTTGAAACGATTCCTAAAATAATGGTTTGTTTTTCATGCCTTAGAAAAAATGTTGTATTTCTCAATGAGCGTATTTTATATATATTTTTCTATGTTGTTTAGCTCATCAAGGTTCTTTTGAAAGCGTATTAAGCCACTTCAATTTAGATAAACTTTCTTCTTTTTTTTTAATATTTTTAAATATGTCAATTAATTGTTTTCATAACTATACTTCTTATTCTTCTTCTTATTCGACATTCATCTGATCGTTGTCCAGTTTCCGTAACGGGGCAGGGGTATTCAAAAATAGGTTAATATTCGTTTTGCTTTGAAATGGCAGCAAGAGTTCAACGTAATGAAAAACTTATCAAGGTTAAATGGCCCAAAAGCAATAACAAATACATTAAATATTTTCGAGCCATAAATGGAATTGAAAACAGAAACTGAGAAACTGAGAAACAGCAAAGCAGGTAAAGAAGATGCCAAGAGAAACAAGCGCTTTTAATTAACCGGACGCACACACACACGCACACACACACACACACTGACACACACGCAAAGTACAGTTAATTGGTGGCTAGCTTAATAGCGTTGCCAGATTTGTCTGTCGATTGGCTAACTGCTAAAAAAAAGAAAAGAAAAAAACTAAAGCTAATTCCACAGCGCTGCCAGACTGTGCTGCTTAGCGTAATGCTGCAATTGTTGTATATTGCATATTCTCCAACACACTCCTGTTTTTATTTTTTAATTTACACAAATTTAAACACAGAAACTAAAAAAAGTACAATTATTAATTTTTATTAAATATTTTATTTATTTGCTTTTTTTTTTAGTTGTAAAATGCGTCTAACGCCCGCTTAAGCAAAACAAAACAAAACACACAAGAAAATAATTGAAGGAATATTTATTAAAATGTCAACATTGTATTATGATAGTTATTATTCTATATATGTAAAGTACTTCCAAAGTGTTCAGGCCAAAAGTTATTTCCCCCCTCTCTGTTTGACCCTCCCCCCCCACTATTTGTTAATCTGCATGTCTATGTATATATGATATATTTAAGTACAATATGTATTTTTTTAAAAAATTTTTTTTTGTGTACTTTTTAAAACAACTACAACGAATATGAAATTTTAACTGACTGATGCAAAGGCAGCGAATACAATTATATATATATATAAACATGTCCTTTTATATTGTGTACACATATATATATATATATGTATTTATATACATGTATATATATATATACATACCTTTAAGTAGCTGGCATACTATTTTTGATACTACATGCAACAACAACAGTCAGCATGTAATTGTATTGTGTATATACAGTTATATATATATATATATATATATGAGTGTGTATGTATGTATGTATATATAACTATGTAAAACTATAATTAACACATATTGTAATTGAACAATTGAAATTGATGTATGAAATTTGATAGCTATAGACTTTTTACCACATATGCATACATATACCAGATATATTTTAAATTTCAACTTTTACACATTTTGTAACACTGATCAGCGCATATTTGCCCAATTAGAATTAAGTGTATATTTTTTTCAGAATCGATTAGTATTTAATTAAGTAGCTCGAACAATTGAAATTGAAAAGTCTGCAGTTATTTGGAAAATGTGTTTAGTCAGCGCCAACAAAAGATTAAAGAAATCGTTAATGGGAAGTAAATGCGTTTATATATGTATATTTACATATATATATAATATATATGTGTGTATTTTTTCGAATATCTTTTCTGATTATTTATGGAGCGTACCCAATCATTTTTCAAGGCGTGTGCGCTTTTTTTGTTCTTTTTTTTTTTTAATTTATTGCGCACAACATTTTTATAGATAAACAGTCGAGGAAAAATTGTCGGAAAAGGGGCAATTAAACGAAACCGAAAACTGAAAACTCAGCAAACAATTTGTGCAGCTATATAGGCTAACCAAACTATATATATATATATATACATATATATTTATATTTATATATGTTACGTGTATTATCTACTATATCATTATTCTGTGCAGAAAAGTGATGATGACTAACTTAGCACAGGCAACTACAATATAGTATTTATACTTTATATTTATACTTAATTTATATGCTCATCAATAAATATGCATCTCCCCTACAAATAAATAAAAACTCATTTATATATATATATATATATATATATTAAAGCAAACAAAACAAAACAAAAGCATAACAAAACGTTTTTCTCATTTCATGATTAGTTGATTCTCTGATTCTCCCTCAATCTAGCCCGAAATTTGTCAGCTTTCTTGCGGGCAAAATTTCGATTGTATGCAAACGAGGCAGCAGACAGGTGTGGCAATATATCTGTATCTGTGACGTAATTATAACCTTTATGGGACTTGCGATTTCAGTTAAATGCAAAAACCGGGTTGAGAAACGCTTCAAATGCTTCAACAATGCGACATCATTTATATAAATAAAGATCATTGCGCAAACCAACTATGCACAACTTGTACACAATTCTCTCATACGTATGCCGAATCTAAATACTCTTTTTCTGCAGGTTAATTGCATTTGCTGAACATGAATAAATATGAATATAGTAATCATCCAACAAGTTTTCGAATAGATATAACTATTATAATAATATACAGTCTACACACACATTTATTTTTCTCTGTGAATAGTTCATCAAATTGGAAAGTATAAAGAAAAATGCCAGTTATGGCTTTAAAAAAATGCATGCTTAAAAATGCCAAGCAAAAGAAAGGGTATTCAAAGATATAAGCAATATCTGAAGCAAAGTTTTATAGGCGTTACTTTCCCAGAAAAGGAGGAATACTATCAGGAACTTATATCTTACAAAAGGAATGGATTAAAGTCTCATCGAAATTGATATAGTGTATTAATGTAAACGGTCTACAAATGCGACTACATATAGATCATATACATGCATAGATCGGAAATTGCAACAAATAAAGCTAACTATATAAGAAACAAGGCCAACAAATGTTCCGTCGATTTTTGACTAAATTATATAAATGTCCAAGGCCTCCGCTAGCTAGTCAACATGGTATTCCGTGCGATGTGGTGAGCCACTTCGCTTCTCTGCAACAAATGGAGCCGAGATGCCCGACACGCTGGTCACGCCACGCAATCCGGTGCTGCGGAAATAGATGAGAACATATTGTTCGCCATGACGCAGCTCGACATCGTCGGCGAAATCCAGACGCACCAGCTCCTCGTTGGCGACCTGCTGACGACGCAATCGCTGCCGATTGCGATGATGATGTCGTTCGCTACGATGATGCGGTGCCGGCGTATCGAAGTAATCACGTTCCTGATTGGAATCCGATGAGGTTGGGGACTCCGCCTGATTCACATACTCGTAGGCCACATAATGCGCCAGACTGGCGTACTCAATGCCATAGATGGCAATCCAATCGTTTGGTCCCTCATCGAATTCAATTTGCTTGCGATACTCCACCGTATTCTCATCGCCAATCAACCAAACGGATAACGGCGTAAATGTGACGCCGGGCGCCCGATAATTCGGATACAATTTGAGTGTAAAGTCACTGGTCACCGGCTTATGATCGCTGATGTTGTAGGCGGGATGGGATTTATACGAGCACTGCTCGATGGCTAGCTGCATGCCGGGCTGGCGATTTGATGGCTGTACGGCGTACATAATGCGATCCGTCCACGCCGGACGACGCTTCAAATCATAGTCGCTGGTGCCCTCCTTGAATTTGAATGTGGGCGGAAAGGCGGGCAGACGTTCGTGGAGCACCTGAAACGCCATCTGCGATTTCTCGCGCACGTCGTACAGCTGATCCCGCTGGATGAGTGCGTCGTGCTGCTGCTCATCCCGTAGAGCGTCGCGCACCTCCGTCGCCGTATCGCTGCCATTGAGACGAAAATTGAGATCACCAAACCAGAAGACATAGTCATGATCATAGATCTCCCGATAACGTTTCACATGATAATGATGATTCTCCAGTATCTGTTTATAGTCCTCAATGCGCTCGTCCAACTGATGATCATGCGCCGCCAAGTGGGCAACGACAAAGGACAGGCCACAGCCGTACAGCGTGAACCGTATGCTGACCGCACCCTTATTGCCCCAAATGCCACCAAAGCCGGTACGTGTAAATTCCGCCTCCATATCCTTCAGATGCTCAACATGCTGTCGCCGCACAAACATCGTCAGCAGCAGGCCCTGCATCTGTTCGGTCTTCACGGCCACGTAATTATAGCCCCGCAACAGTTGCTTTGCCTTGTGCGTCCACGGATCCTCCTTGAACAGGCCGATCACCTGATGCTGGGGTTGTGCATTCACCTCCTGCAATCCAATCGCATAGATATCCGGCAGATCCTCATCATCCGCCTTCCCGCTGGCATCGTCATGCAGTCCGAGCAGCTGACGCAGCGAAATATTATCCGGAAATCGGCTGCCAACATTCCATGTGACAATGTATGCTCGATATGTTTCCAGCTGCTGCGCTTTGGGCGCGGCTGTTGCTGTCGCTGTCGCACTTGCATCTTCCATCTTGCTCATACTAATGCCACACACATAAACACACACAACACACATATATCAGAATTTGATTCATGCGATTTGAGCCATATTTCTACTTACATTAATGAATGATTAACGTGTACGTCTTCTTCTTGTTGCTATTGCGATTGGCAATATTTATATTGGCTGGTGTCGTAATTGGGTTAGATTCGATTCGATGAGTGCAATGGTTAACTCGTTACGGGCTTGTGCTCAGCGCATAGTAAACAAAGTCAGTAAGCAGTAGCGAAGCAATAGCAGACAAAGCTCGTTTTGAAATAGCAAGGCCAATTAAATCATAAACAGCTGTCTGCTGCGTTCACCTATCGTTATCGTTATCGATGCTTATCTCCACCACACTATCGGTGTCGCGCATTTACAAATGTATCAATGTTATTACGTGTTATTTTCAACATAAATTCAAATATTTTCCCTCTCAAAAATATTTGTAGCTCATTACGTTGCAAATTTGTTGTGCTCAGTATAAATATATTTAAATTTAATTTTGAACATAAATTCAAATATTTTGCCTTTAAAGAGCATACAATATATAAATCAAATAAGTTTACTTTAGAAATTTATTATGCTCATTATGTAAACGTAAAAAAAATGTACTAGAAAATGCAAAAATGTTCAACCAGGTGGCAACTATGAGCGGTGCTGCCACTAGTTGAACGCTTTGCAGCACTGTCGTCAGTTTTGGATTTGTTTTTGTGACACAGATATTTTTTTGTTTTATTGATGAAGTTGATAAGAAAATACATACTAATAATATACGGGCAATATCAACACTACAATGAATAGCCGATCAAGTTCGTGCGTTTAATTGAATATATAGCGCCAATACACGGCGTTCACTGCGGCCACCGAATAAAAGGCGAGCGAAGCACTAACCAAAAAAAAAAAAAACCAAATACTAATTTTGGTTCTGATTTTTGTTTGTGTTGTTTTTCTTATTTTTTTGTACTTTGACGTTGTTGGCAAGCGTTGGCGCTTTTTGTTATTGTTGCTGCTGCTGTTGTTGCCGTATGTTATGTAAATTATATACACGAAGAGCTAAACAGCATCCTTTAATAAGTTGAATCCGTGCGTTGAATCAAGCAACAAATCAAAGTCACGGGATCCAAAACAAATATTTAGCAAAAACAGCAGCAGCGCAGTCAGAATCGCAGCTGGGCATAAATTTATTTATTTTTTGCTTATCGAAATAGTTGTCATATATATATATATATTTGTTTTCTTAGTAATTATAATTTATTAACAATTACAGTTGAAGCATGCCAGCGTCACAGACAATTTCTGCTGCTGCTGCCATAACCACGGCTAGTGTGCCCAACAGCGATGCGAACGCTAATCCAGCAACAACTGCAGCGAGTGCAGCAGCAGCCAACAACAGCAGCAGCAGCGGTCGCCATCAGCTGCGACCGGTTAAATATGATTATGCGGATTCTTTTGCCTGCACGTATGTTGTATCGGTTGTTGCTGCCTCTGTTGCGGAACTGGCCACATATCCGTTAGATCTGACAAAGACGCGACTGCAGATCCAAGGCGAGGCGGCCAGTGTGGCCACCATTGGCGCCGTCAAATCAAATGTGAGTAGTTTTCTTTCGTTTTGTTTTTTTTTTTTGTTATTCCTCTTTGAGTTCAGTTTTGGTGTCAAGCGCTTGCTGTTGTTGTTGGTGTTTAATGCATGCTTCGCTTTTGAACCCGGCTTTGCTAATTGCCAATTGCTAATACAACCTTATAAATACATATATATATGTATATGTAAATGCATATTGTATATGCATATATATATGTATCTATATCCTTGCAGGCTATATGTTACAAACGATACCACAATATCATCTTATAACTGTGTCCGCCACACTCCACAACAATATCCGTGTGCCTGTCTCCATTACACTCTATCTGTCACTATCACTATCTCCACTATCAAATTGCGATCTCATCTTGCTCATATAGTTTTTCTACAATCGATAACAGTAACAGTAACGATAACAATTATTATTTAATGCAGATAACGGCTTTTATTTCGATTAAAATGCAGGTTTGTTAGCCTTGAACGATACTTTTGTTGTTACTCTTATCACTTTATATTATTGTATTTATGTTATTTTTTGTTTTATTTTTTTCTGTGATACAGTGAACGCTCGTGAAAGTGAAACTGCCAGAAAGTAGTAGTTGTACAATAATGAATATTAATTGATTTATTGCGTAGATAGGCGAGATTTCAAATAAGAATACGAATTGTAATTAATTATCGCAACTGCAAGGGTATTCAACTTTATTGGATGGCTTCGGTTTGCCGAAGTTAATTACTGCTTGTTTTATTTTTAATTTATCTGCTATGATTAATACTCATTATCAATTGATAAGCCAAATAAATGGGGTTATTTTTGTGGTATGTCCATCCGATAGATAGATAGATATGGATATTAGAGGCATATAAAGATCGAGATCAGCTGACTGCGTGTGCTCTTATGTTTGTTGTAATGCTGTAGTAGTCAACTCTAAATGTTATTCACTCAAACCACACTCAACCCTCCACCCCACTCCCCTCACACTAAACTTCTTATGCCACATCTCTCGTTTTGTGTGTGTTTTTGTTAAATGTGACAAATTTACAACTATTTTGTTGCGTGTGTGTTGTGTGTACTTGTGTATTGGATAGCCTATATGTTCTATGATGCATATTTCTGAGTAACCGAGAAACAACTGACCAACCAACCCAACCACCCCCCTATTACCAGATGCAATATCGCGGCATGGTCGCCACCGCCTTTGGCATTGTACGCGAGGAGGGCGCCATCAAATTGTGGCAGGGCGTGACGCCGGCGCTCTACAGACACGTCGTCTATAGGTGGGCAAAAAAAAAAAACAAAACAAAAAAAAACCGAAAAAACAATTTAACAATCAAAATCCAGAAAGAAGAACTGCTTTCTTTGGCATGCCAAAGCTGAAATACCCTTGCAGAATAAGTCCATTAAATCTAAAGATTATTCCCATTTTGATCTGTATAATATCTATGCCGTTGATATAGTTGTCTGATATATACCCCATGTAAACAAGTTCTCATCAAATACTTTTTATATGCAATCGGCTAAATGCTCATACTAAAACCGGGAAACATCTCTGCAAGGGTATCAAAAATGCACTCCTTATATTTTTTTTAGCATTGCTAGCATAACAAAAATAATTATAATCGCCAGTAATTGGCTTGATCGAAAACTAATGTCGCCTGTTGTTATATTGATAGCGGGGTGCGGATCTGCAGCTACGATCTGATGCGCAAGGAGTTCACTCAAAACGGAAGTCAGGCGCTGCCCGTGTGGAAGTCGGCGATATGCGGTGTGACAGCTGGTGCCGTTGCTCAATGGCTCGCCTCGCCCGCTGATCTGGTCAAGGTGCAGATCCAGATGGAGGGACGACGCCGGCTGATGGGTGAGGCGCCGAGGGTGCATGGCTCGGCGCATGCCCTAAAACAGATCATTCAGCGTGGCGGCGTCAAGGGTCTGTGGAAGGGCAGCATACCCAATGTGCAGCGTGCCGCACTTGTCAATCTCGGTGATCTGACCACATACGATACGATCAAGCATCTGATCATGCATCGCCTCCAAATGCCCGACTGTCACACGGTCCATGTGCTTGCGTCCATCTGTGCGGGCTTTGTTGCGGCCATCATGGGCACTCCAGCCGATGTGGTTAAGACCCGCATTATGAATCAGCCCACCGATGAAATGGGCCGGTACGTAATCCCTCAATCTCTGTAGCGCATATACGTAGGAGACTTTGATTTTAAAGCACTCGCCTTGACAAATCATATTAATAACTACTCAAGTTGTGGGGAGCACAAGTTATTTGTATTCAAAATTATTTGTTTATCTACCTAATATGTATATAGTTTCTCTAGATTCGCTTAATTCATTTGTGTAACATATTTGCATTTAAAATTATTTTGCATCTGTCTGATATATAGATGGGTTCTCTAGATTCGCTTAGTAGGAAAGATTCTTTTGATATATTTCGACTAGCGCACTCTTATATCTTGCTTTACTAATTGTTTCTGTATATATGCTTCCATTCCTATTTGCAGTGGTCTGCTCTATCGAGGATCTGTGGATTGCCTGCGCCAGACTGTTGCTAGGGAGGGTTTCGTGGCGCTCTATAAGGGTTTTTTGCCCTGCTGGATCCGGATGGCGCCTTGGTCGCTCACCTTTTGGCTGTCGTTCGAGCAGATACGCAAAATGATTGGCGCTTCAAGTTACTGAGTAACTTGGACAAACTTTAGCTATTAAGTCACAGTTCAAGAGTTTGGGCATAAAATGAGAATCAAAACTAAATGCAATCGATATTTTAAAAAGAAACAAAATATATGTATACATATATATTTAATGTTAATTCTACATTATATTTAGTTGCTTTGTGAGGCAAAGTAAAGAAGTGCTATTTTTAATGGCACAACTACTTTCAAGACTGTTTTCTATATGTCTCCAAATTCTATTTGGGAATCACTCTAAACTCAAAGCTAATCAGCTAAAGTCAACGATTTCATATACATCGTCTAATTCAGTAATATGTGGATATGATCGCAGAAAAATAATATTGTCTATGAATAATAATTGTATTTCTGTGTGTTTTCAAACAACCCTTCGATAATTGTGTGGCGAAATTATAGATATATAACCTATAATCATGTGTACAAATAGACTCCGCATTTTATACATAATCAACATGTCTGAAATAAAAATTGAACATCTGGCAGTTGATGTTGGGCCAATAACATCCGGGAAAGACAAAAAATGACAGTGATCATGATTGAGGAGAAAAGCCTTTCAAACTCTTTTGAAAAAGCATACTTGAATAAATGGAAATATAAATTAATTGAAGTTTTTTTTTTATTTGCATAAATGTGCGTTTAATTTATCTTATATTTGTTCATTTTTCTCCTAATTCCAGGCTTATACAATATATAGAAATATATAACCACAAACATTAGTCGATAAGCATTAAAATCTATAAACAGGTTTCAGAAAATCAACTATTTTTGTGAGTATACTTTTAGGATGAATAAAAAATAACAGATCAAAACTGAAGTAGTCTCAACTGGAAAGATGAAACAATGAACTTCAAATTAGATAGTCTTTCCTCAATCTAATAATGCAATGCTTAAACATTAACTTACTTAATTCAACTAAGCAAATTTGTCAAGTCTCGCAATTGATTAACAGCTGTAAAAACGATCCGCATTAAATTAAAATATACTTAGTATCGTTATCATGATGATGAAGCATCGATACCCGTCATGGTATTTGCTGTGTCACACACAGTTTGGTCACACTGCCGACCAGCGAACATATTTCATTGTGTCGTATTTAAGACGGGGCAACGGCAACGGCAGTCAATCAGTTTTAAGCACAGTCCAAAATGTTATTTAAATCAATTGTTCCGCTGCTGTGCGCCGCCTGTGCATTAAGCATTTCGCCATATTTGGCCAGAGCCGCCACCGACGAGGAGCAAAAACAAACAGATCAAAAGCAATTCGCCATCGAACTGGACCCGGAAACATTCGATGAGGTTATTGGTGCCGGCAATGTCTTTGTTAAGTTTTTTGCGCCATGGTAAGCAATATTAAAAGTTCTATTCTTTCGTTTTTCGTTCCTTTGTTTTTTTTTCTTTTTTTTTTGACAATTTGGCAGTTTTATTTCCTATTGGGAACAGTGCCGGCAAATAAGTAAAGTTCCAGAAACGCACACACACACAAGACACGCATACAAATGCAGCCACGCAATCTTAAAAAAAAAACATCTGTGCATACACAGGAACAACATACACACACACACACACATACCTGTTTACCTGTGTACATGAGTACATGTGTTTAAACATGTGTTGGCAAGCATACCAAAAAAAAACGAGAAGAAAAAAACATTAGAAAAAAAACATATTTTCTTGTTATAACACACATATTATTGTTTAGAGTACATTGTCCTACTTGACAACATTTAAACAAGTGTGTAATATTATATGTAGTTTTTGTTGGTTTTGTTGCATTTTGAACACGTACCACGATAAGGGGCTTGAACCGGTCAAAAGGGAGCTTTGCGTTTAGGTTCCACTGGGATGAAGAACTGCCATTGATTGACACACTGTAATTACACACTAATACTTAGTTAAGCGCCCGGTTCTAATCAGTTCTCTACACATCATCACACGCACGCAATACATACGCACATATATGATATTATTATCATCGTATATGTATATTAAGGTTTGGGGCCATAAACGCGAAAAATGTTGATGATCCACGAGACGATTGTTTTCATTAAATTTCACTTCTATTGTGAATCATTTTTTGTTCCACGATTTCTTATCAAGAGATTGTAGCTACTCGCCTAGTTGGGTTCGTTGAGATCAATGTTCTAGTTTTTGATGCTATAGTTTTAAGCATTTTGTACTTCCCCTTTCTAAGTTGTGGCTTTAAATCAGCTCTTATCAGATATATCATTAGTTAACTTCCTCAGCTTATAGTGTTCATAATAATCAGCCTTATCAATACGTGATTTTAAACTAGATTACGAAATTGTTTAAATTGCTCAAAAAGCCTTAAAGCATCTACTGTTCAAATTAACAATTAGTTTATCAATATTAAGAAATTACACTTAAACGATTTCCTCACTTGGTTAATTTTAAAACGCATCTGGCTTTCTGAGTTAGCTTTTTATTTATTAATTTAACGACAAAAATATATATCATTAATTAACATCTGTTCTTCACACAGGTGCGGCCACTGCAAGCGTCTGCATCCATTGTGGGAGCAGCTGGCTGAGATCATGAATATCGATGAGCCCAAGGTGAAGATTGCCAAGGTGGACTGCACAAAGCATCAGACACTGTGCGCCGATCATCAGGTGACCGGCTATCCAACGTTGCGACTCTTCAAATTGGGCGAGACGGAATCGGTGCGATTCAAGGGTACCCGGGACTTGCCAGCGATTACCGATTTCATCAATCAGGAACTGAATACGCCCGCCTCCGAGGATCTGAGCGGTCAACAGTTGAAGGATGAACAGAATCCGAATTTGGGCAAGGTCGTTGAGCTCACCGAGGATACGTTCGCCAAGCACGTCTCGAGTGGCAATCATTTTGTGAAATTCTTTGCGCCCTGGTGTAGTCACTGTCAGGTATTGTTAACTCCATCATATAATCCCTGATCAAATCCAAAATATTAATTGATCATGCTTTAATCGACAGCATTTGGCGCCCACGTGGGAGGAGCTGGCCAACGCGCTGGTTAAGGAGCCGGCGGCAACGATATCAAAAATCGATTGCACTCAATATCGGAGCATCTGTCAGGATTTCGAGGTGAAGGGCTATCCGACGCTGCTCTGGATTGAGGATGGCAAAAAGATTGAGAAATATGCTGGTGCCCGTGATTTGGCCACACTGAAGACCTATGTGGAGAAAATGATTGGTGCCCCCAGCGGCAGCAACGATGTAAACGATGCCACCAAAGATGCACTGGACGCAACCAAAAAACAAACCGTACTCCAATTAAATGGCAAAGATGAATTCGAACAGGCAACCGCCGATGGCATCACCTTCATCAAGTTCTATGCACCATGGTGTGGACACTGCCAAAAATTGCAGCCCACCTGGGAACAGTTGGCAACGGAGGCGCTGGCCAGCGATGCTGGCATATCTGTTGCCAAAGTCGATTGCACATCGCCGGACAACAGACAGATCTGCATCGATCAACAGGTCGAGGGCTATCCGACGCTCTTCCTCTATAAGAATGGCCAGCGGCAGAATGAGTACGAGGGCAGCCGATCCCTGCCCGAACTGCAGGCCTATATCAAGAAATTCATTGGACACGATGAGCTCTAAATCCCAACCTGAAATGAACAACAACAACAACAGCGACAACAACAACAAAGACATATACACAATAACATTAACGATTGTCATCATCGCGCCAAAGTCATCCAATTTCTGTTAGCCTGCCTCTATGTGGGCATCCTTTAATAGAGTTGTGCCATTTTTTTTTTTTTTTGGTACAAGTAGGCATCCATTTACATAAATAGCAAAAAAGAAAAGATGAGAAACATTTGAAAAGACAGCAAAAAAAAAAAGAAAAGAAAAAAAACAATCAATTTGTATTTGAAGTAATGGAATTATACAATTTAGTTTTGTGTTAGTTGCTCGTGTTGTCCTTTTAGCTGCATTACTTTGCTTGTTTACTTGCTCTTAAGTTTTGTTTCACATGTGCCAAATATCAATTTCGAGATGAGATATTATATGTTGTAGAAACATTTGAATTTAAATATAGTCTATTTATGTACAACAACAACAAGTAGGAATATCTGGCATGTTTGATCTCAACTTTCCACTTTCCAACATTGAACATCTCTTTTAGTTTTTGTTTTAAGCACAATTCTTGTAAATGAATTTATCCTTTGAAGTAACCTAATAAAAACAATTTTGGAATCGTGAACTGATTGTTGTTATTATTATTATTATTTTTAGTTTACTTTTCGATTATCATCCAACTAAAGTTATTTTCACGTTGCGTTGAAAGACTTTTGACTTAAAATGTTAGTCATTAATTTGTTTAAGTGAATCAGCAACATTTATATTTTGTTTATTTATATTGATTCAAAAATCGCATATTCTAAAATTAACGTTGTATAATTTGGCTTAAAAGTGCCACTTGGTATTAATGGCTGGTATTTTGATTGCAGCTTTCGCCGTGGTATTTTTCTCGTTGCAGCAGTACGGTCACACTAATCCACAAACGCAATTTGTTGTTTTCCATCGCGCTGCTAAATTTCATGGTAAAGCAATTGGGCATGTCCTTTCCCACGGCTCGTGCACAACTGGTGCTGTAGACGCCCAAGTCCAGCCAGTGCTGCCACATCGATCGATTTCGCATTTCTTTTTCATTTCTTTTTGTGTTCTCTCTTATTGCCGTTGTTGCTCCCGCTGCTGCTCTTGCTGCTCCAGCTGCACACAGGTGACAGTGTGACAGAGACAGAGACAGAGAGTGTATAAATCGCTCGCAAAGTTTTTGTATGAACGCAAATAGCAGAGGCGCTGCGGCCTCTGGCGGTGCAGGTGGCAGCGGTGCTGCTGGTGGAAGTGCTGCTGCTGCTGCTGCATCTGCTGCTGCTGCAGCTGCTGTAGCTGGTGTAAGTGGTGCTGTTGGTGGTGTAGCTGCTGCTTCTGCTGCCGCTACTCCTCCTCCTCCTGCTGCGGGCTCCAATGGGCCTGCTGCCCAATCAGCTGGCGAAGCTGTCTCAGCAGCGGCGGCGGCAGCATCTAGTTCTACAAATGGCGGCAACGAAATTGGCGGCACCAATCTCAATGATGATCAGGATGCAAAGCGGCGCAAGTGCTTGGAAACGGATGAGGCACAAGATGGCGCCAGCACAGTAAGTAAAGAGAATCCCCCCCTCCTTCGTTTTATATTAATTAATCCTGTGCTTTAGATGATTGATGCGAACAGCGTGCTCAATAAGATGGCGACTGTGTATGCGGAGCAATTAATGTCGGACATTGTGCTGCTGGTGGATGGCAGGGAGTATCCGGCACATCGGGTCATATTGTGCGCGAGCAGCGATGTCTTTCAAGTGATGCTCATGAATCGGGAGTGGAACGAGTGCAGCAAGGATGTGATTGAGCTGCACGAGGAGGCCTGCTGCTCGGCCGTCTTTCCACAGTTCATCAAATATTTATATGTGGGTCATATTGAGGTGACGCTGCAGACGGTGATGCCGATGCTGGCGCTCTCCGACAAATACAATGTGCGGGATCTCATCGAACTGTGCGTCGGCTATATGAATAAGAATGTCGCAAAGGCGGCAACCAGTGGTTATCTGGTATCCTGGCTACAGTATACACTATCGTTTACGCCCACGCATAATGATCTCACCGAGACGCTTAAGCGTTTCCTCAAATGGAATCTGGAAATGGTCGCCGAATCGAAGGATTTCATCGATATGGATCCGGCCATATTACAGTTGCTCCTACAACAGAATGACATTGTCATTACCAGCGAGTACAAATTGTTTACCATCTTGCAGACCTGGTTGCTCCATCGACGCGACCTCATCGAAGCGATGCCCGGCCTCAGTGCCGAGAAGCGGGCCAATACCTTCATGGAACTGATCGAGCAGACTGTCATGCATATACGATTTGGCATGATGACGCCACGTGAATTGTCGCATCTGCTAATTGTGCCGCTGGTCGAATACCACAAGGAGTTCCTCGTCGAACGGATTGCCATCGGCATGAGCTATCAGTCGGGGCAGGAGGATCGGGTGCGAGAGGTGCGCAAAACCGAATGCGGCGAACTGCAGTTCACTCCGCGTCTCTACTGGAACGACACGTGGAGTGTTCGGATCGATGTCCACAATTTCGATGAGATCGAGCACTATAAAAACTATGTCACCTGCTTCTTTTCCCAACGTCACATCGCCGAGACTGAAGATGGTGAGTCTATCTATCTATCTTATCCATAGTACTGCTATATCTTATATGATATAGATAGATATTAGTTTTTTTTTTTAAATTTAATACAATAAAATGGGGAAAAGGGTGCCATTATATATATAACAGGCAGACGGAATATAATATTCGTAATATGATGATATTCCTGATCAGCATCAATAGCCAAATAAATGTGACCAATTTGATTTGGCAGATAAGTTCTTGCAAATCAAATTTGTTAAATTGTATCGATATGTTACGAGAATAAATCGATAAAAATCGATTTCCGAAGAAGACATAGTGTTCTTATTAACATATAATAAACCCTGATTATTGATCAACTGTAAGCATATCATTAAGAAACACAGCTTTTGATATTGAACAAACTCAGATCAGCAAATTTTCTATCCGTTTAATTATTATATGTCAATCAAAGAAGTAAATTAATGAGAAATTGAGAGACTTTGAAATAATACTGTACACATTTTTGCCAGAGGCTAATTCCGCATTGAAGTCGTTTATATTTCGATAAGGTTATGGGAAGATAAAGATATGTATCTTGTGTAGAGGACTTGTAATTAAAATGCTGATAGTCTAATAAGAATATATATAGCATTATGTACTATTTAATGATATGATTCGATTCAATTCGAAATTAACAAAATCCTTTTTGCAGATTCATGCATGACTTGGGAAATTGAATTCTTTCCGCGCGGCGTCAGATATAATAAGGCCAAAATGGTGTGTGGTGAGGATGTGCCCGGCTGTTCACTCAACACGGTGCGACTGCGAGTCACATGCAAGCACCAGAATATTGGCGAGGAACGTTTTAAGGTACACTATATATATAACTAAATATATCTGTATATATAATAGGTAAATGCCCGTTTTTTAGATTGCTGTGCTGATTGTTGGTGAACAGAATAAGATTGCCCATATACGGACTGTGGTGGAGCGATCGGAATACTTTTCGGAGGTGGCGCGTGTCATCAATTTGGATAATCTATTGCCGTACGAGGAGCTCACATCGCGCTCTTTGAGTCCACATCTAACGGGCAATAAGCAGAATACGCTCTCCCTGCATGTGGTTATTACACCAATGGGTTCGCACACCTGTCGCGACACGCCCCCATTTCAATTTTAGGCTGATCGATAACATAATAAGGCGCATAAGTCTATACTCCAACCCCGCCCCGCACCCCGCCCCCGTCAAACCATGTGAACACATTGTAGAGTGCGAGTACAATCCATTTAGCACACCAGTTCTCTCCAGTTACGCTCCTGGTTCATCCTAGTCGTTTTTACGCAGTTTTTGTGCTCGCATCCAGCTACACTTGAAATGTTCTCCATACAACTCTAAATGTATTTGCATTCATCTAAAGCGCAGCACCTCGCCTCTGAGGTAGTTGCACACAGATACCGCTGTGCTGTACAATTCCCAGCCTAAGCATTATATACTATATATATATACATACATATATATAGGTCCTTCAATTCTGCAAGATTTACTGTTTTTGTGTTACGATTATTATTATTATTAATATTATTATTACTATGATGATTGTGTATTTTACATTTTTTTAAATATTTTTTATTCGATTCGATTTTAACTAAAGCAATAACTATAGCGAAAAGGCCATTTACTTGATTATATATTGTGTAATTTGCCTTTTAAAAGACATGTTTACGGTTCAATGAACATTGTAACTATTGACTATGGAAAACAAATTTTTTTCTAATAAACGTTGATTTGTATAGAAAACAAAGCGAGTTTTAACTAAACTAACAATTCCCCCACTTACAACTATCTATCATAGAAAAAATAATGGAAGACATTTATGATTTTCTTTTCTCATCTCATCACTTTGCAGCGGTTGATTTAGTTAGCTTTGGGTTTTTGTTGTTTTTTACTGTTTGTCTTCAGTTAAGTAAATAGAAATATTTCGTACATTTTTATTGTGACTACGTGTTTTTAAGATAATGCCAACCTATGTAAGCCTGTTACCAACTTACTAGAAGATAAATGTTAAACAACAAATACTTATTATATATATATACATATGTATATGTGTGTGTATATATCTCTGTATATACTTAGTAATTGCTAAGTCGAAAGCTTAACAATTTTACGTACTCTGGTTTTGTGTAAATATTGTGAGCCATGTTTTAATAGCTACTCGGCTTTCGTTCTAATCCTCAAAGACAGCTTCGTAAACCTTAATCCAGAAGTATACAAATAGATAGCTATCGCCCATAGATAAGAAGAGCTGAGCACACGCAGCAAAGGAGCGAGAGAGAAAGCGATGGCAAGCGGTGAGTCTGTCAACGAGAGAGAGGGAGAGAGAAAGAGGTAGCGAGAGGGAGAGAAATCGAGTGTGAGTCGAGATATGCACAAAGAAAACCTTTGAAATCGGTACAAGATAAAAGTTTAGTCATTTAAATTATCTGTTTTTTTCATTATTATATGGTTTTGACGTCATCTTCATTTACTAATTTAAGCACGTTTCTAACTTTCTTTCAAGTTGTTTTCTAACCATACAATAAATGCCATTGATTTACATATTTTGCTTACTTTGATTTTAATTTGGAAATTTACATATATATATATACATATATATATATATATATATACCACACAAAGATATATATTTGTGCATCGTAACTGTTTGAATCTGTGCCGCATATAATTGAGCAATCATTATAATGAAATGTTATAGTCATATTTTGATTTTTAAATTCGAATTTAAAGCAGTATTTGGAAACTGTTACAACTATCGAATTACTATACATATGTACATATATATATATATATATGTATTATGTATGTATGTATATAATTTTAAGAATAAGCAGAAATGATTGTACTAAGTTATACCTATTCTATACATAAGCTCATCAGTTTATAATATATATCTGGAAATTGATGTGCAATTGCTAAAAAACGTGTAATTTAATTGCTATTCTCCTTTTCTTGCTGTAATTATTTTTGGTTTTAATATTGTTCTAAGGGAAAACATGATTACAAAAAGCCAAGCTTATCTTATCTTAATTTTCAATCATTCAAATGTCGTGCTTCAAATATGGCTCTGATTATGTAATTGCAATAATTGTTTCACTATAAAGAAAACAAATAGAACTTAAATTGTTTTCACAACATTTATATAAAGCTTATGAGATTATATAATTATATTATATATTGAGCAAGTTAAAATAAAGAATAACTTATTTTGTTCTTTGTGGTTCCTAAACCCTGCTGGATCATGATCTATTTTATTACTGTAAGGTATTACATTTAAGATCAAATATAACTGCGAATTGATCGATTATTGTTAATAAAAATACTTATCTACATAAACTTCTGCTGTTCCGAGATATATTTGAATTTTTTTGTCATGAGACTCCACGAAAAGAAACGGACCAAAGTCGACCTTGAAAACACCTCCAGAAACATTAACAGCAACCAGTTTTTTCTTTCTTTCTTTTTTCTTTTTTGTTACTATATTGTTAACATGTGTTCTGCATTAAGAAAAAACAAAGGCAACAACAACCACAAAGTATATAATAAAAGCAATTACATATTTATTTAAGCATCTTCTGTATAACTGTATACCGCACTGCACCACCATTATAACCCTGGAAGAGTGAGAGTGTTTTTTAACCCACCGGCGCTGACTTGCACAAAATTGGGCAGAGCGCTGCTATTCTTAGCGTGGTATCTATGCGATTATATAAGTTTTATTGCTCAGTTAACCCGCGATTGCTATTGCGCCATATCGTAGTTCTTGTGTGACAATTGGCTTTCTCAGCTACCCTGTAAGCATCCAGAGTGTAGACGAAAGGGTATGCTCGAGTAGTGTAACAAGTGTAACAAGTCTCCATTCTCTTTTATATACCTTGAAAAATTGTGTAGTTCTGCACCAGTATAAAGCAGACAGAAGGAAGCATATCCAATCCGATAAAGTATATATATTCTTTATCAGCATCCGTTTGTCTTTCTGTATGAGTAAGCCGATCGCAGATACTCTTCAAATTTGGAATATAAAACACGCTTCAACATTTGTATCGATAACTGCTCCCGTTAAGCGAATATCGATACAAATCGATTTACGATAGCAATAAAAGGCATAATTGTTCAGATATAACCTTTAAATTAATATTTATTATATACTTAGACATATTTTCATTAAGATCGCATAAAAACCTCGAATTTTATTTGAATTTGAAAAGATATGGCCTTAATTTTGATCCTATTTACCTATTTTATTATCATCTTCATGTCTTGAAAACTTCATAAGTATCGATGATGTAGCAGTAAAGTTTTATAAGGAAACTGTCGACTATTCTATTGAACTATTCTGATTCTATTGAACTCAACCCAGAAACGAACTTGGTAAACGAATAATGAACATTTTACAACAGTTAAAGGTTGACAGTGATTTAAATATTATCAATTAAAATTGAACATTTTGTTAAATACGAATTACAGAAATCGATATTTTTGCTCCACAGAGTCCCATAACGGATTCGAATACCGGAACCGGAAACCCAAATACGATTTACTTTGTCATGCTGCTGAAGACTTGGCCATGATGTAAAAATCATTGCCTTTTGATACTCAAAAAAAGTATCTGAAAGCAATTTTGAATTGTTTTTTTTTTGTTATCAAAGTTTGTCGGAATATATATGGAATATATGTAAGATTAAGAGATATCTATTTTAATCGAGGAGAATTTGTTAGCCGAGCACACTCACTTCGAGCGAAATGTTTTTGGTTTGTTTTATGAGTTTGAATATACTCTCTGTTTATACAGAACATCATTCATTCGTTTACAGAACCCATTTGTAATTGGCCCATCAAACGATGGTAGATTGTCGAGCAGAACATTAACCGAAAGATAAATATGCTTAAATTGCCGTGTTGGGTGTTTTAATACTGCCAGTCGAAATTTGGCAGCGACAAAAGTCGCATCAACCTTCTTCGACTTTAACTATATATATATTTATAGATATAGCTAGAAAAAAAGCATACCATTTCGATTTGCAGTACGTGTAAAATATATAATATATATATATATTTTTTTTTTGGTTTTTCTCAAAGTTAATGCGCAAAAAAGTTCCATGGATAATCCGGGATATGTGATAGATTGCGAGCGCGAGTTCGGTGAGTTATATCGTTCAAAGCTTTGAAGTTCTTCAAAGTCTTAGAATAATAATAAATAAAGTGATATCTGAAAACATAATTGATAAGCTTTGGGGCACCACTAATTGCAAGCCAATGCGCATTGGATCATAATGTTTATGTGAGCTATAAAACCGATTTAGCCGATTTACGCAAACAGAAATTCTTTTCAGTTATTAAAATTGTTTTTTTTTTTTTAAATTGAGCACTGATTGCAAAAATGCGGTTACTATTCGAATACCAATTCTGAGCAAGAGAAAACAAATGAATTTAATTGGACAGCTCAACGTCAATTTACATATAAATTGTGATAAATATATTAAAATGATTTTTTAGCATATTGCCAGCATTCCATAGGCATATATAGAGCCTTGATTCTTGGTATGTATTATTCACCAATTCATCAAGATATTCGAAATATTGGGCTTATAGTTGAACACAGGTTAGTTAAGATATCTCAACCCTTAAAATTAGATTTATAATTTAGGCTTTTCATAGGGTATCTCAGTGAAGACTATTATTAAATCGTCTTGTTTTCCGCAAAATTATTTAGTTTCGACTCGCATCAAGAAGGTAATTAAAGTTTTCTTTGTTTATGTTGGTTTTAAACTTTGTTCTATGCTTTATTATTGCCAAAATGACTTTTATTTTTCATCTAAGTACATATACACACATATATGCATGCGTGTGTTTGTGTGTGTGTGTGTATTTTATGGCCATCAGATACAAATACAGTTACAGGGTACAGGAATTCTATGCCATAAAGCCATATAGTTTATATATATCTGTATAATATATATATATATATATATATATCGTTATTATATATATTTTCAACTCAATTCTCATGTTTAAGATGTGTGTTTTATAGTGGTTTAGATATGATATAGGGATTTTCATTTTTTTTTCTTCTTTTGTTAGAATTGCCTTTTTGCCGATCAAACTAGTCATATAATGGAGTACATCAATTATAATATTAAATATGAATATTTATAATAATATAACAACAATTTGCTTTATACAATTATAAAATTGCACATTCATATTTTAAGGTGATCGCTCGAAATTTCGAAAGTTGTTTGTATTTAAAAATTCTTTTTTTTTGAGCATTAGTTTTACTTTATTTATTTTAAACTATAAATTCCTTGTCCATCAATTCCATTCCATTAAATGATCAATTTTTGCTATAAATAAAATTAAGTTGTCCAGTAAAACATTCGTCTATTCGAGCGAGCACTGTATTAACAATTTCCGTTTACACATTTTGAATCTAGCAGATTCTGATATTTGTCTAAGTTTTTATTTGGTTTCGCTTACATTTTTCTTCTTTTTTTTTGATCGACTATGTTTTTCAATTTCTTGTGGAAAACAAAAAGTTAACACTTTTTTTGCATTTATTTCTGAATGCTCTGAATTCCATTTCCGAGGCTAAACATATATAGAAATGTATTGTAGTGTAGTAGTATATAGCATACTTTTAAGAGAGCAGGATAGATTGAAAATTCATTCGATTTGTTGTACTACTTATCGATGTATATACACACACATATATACATATATATATATATATATATATATATATATATATATATATATATATATATATATATGACAATATTCCATATATAGTTTTGTTTCGATCATGAAACTCAGCACAAATGTATATATATGTATATATTAAGTATACGTATATTTTCTATATAATATATATATATATATATATATGTATGTGTTTTTGCAATTATTGAGTGCTGTGCACTTTGACTTACATGCTATATACAAATACCATATATATATATATATATTTATATATGTAAATCGATATCAATCTATATGGAACCATCTATGAAATTTATGCATGCAAATATTTGCCAAAGCTGAACCCGCTCCGATCTCTTCCATTCATGCCGATGCCGTGATTTATCGTGACTTATATATGTATGTAGTATGTATGTAGGTGTGTGTGTGTGTGATATTTTTTTTCTTCTTTTTGGATATTACTAAAGTTAACTAGTTATTGTAGTTGGTGTAGCATTCGCTAGCTGCCTTAAAGCAGTGTCCTAGGTGGGGTGTTGTTGCATTCTTGCCGCAGTGAGTGACGCTCTATATAAATGTTTTTGGTTTTTTTTTTTCATTTTTGGAGTGGGTCCCGTCTAGGTACATCTTTTGTATACAAGTACCAATAACTATAAATGTCTGCCATATAACCATATCATTATCATCTATTATTGAGTAATTGCGTTCGCCGAGTGTTTTTCTGCCTTAGAATTCTATTTGCTGTGAGTCTATTTGGGTTTTTTTTCTGAAAAACTGTTTAAAGTATTGCCCCTCTATTTTTTTATATGTTTTTTCTTCATTTTTTTTTTTTTTTGTAGATATAGGTATGTATTGGAGGTGTTGATAGTTGTTCATATGTGTGTGTGTGTGTTTTTTATTTTTTTTAATTTGCATTACATCGTTTATATTGTACTTATCAGAGATGGCAATCGATTTCAGCATTCAGATCGATCAGATCGATAGCTCAGATATATACTGCTTCTTATACATAACTAATGGCCGGATTCCATTGGGCATCGTTTTGATTAATAGTTTTCAAGTGAAGTAAATATTTGTTAAAATAATAAAACGAAATTTAGCTTGCTGTCAGCTAACATGAACTTTAGCAGGCAGCTGAGAAAACAGTCTAAACTTATTTGTTAAAATAACTAAACCAAGTTTAGCGTAATGTCAGCCAACATGCACCTTAGCAGAAAGCTAAAAAAACAGTTTAGCGGGATACATATATTTGTTAAAATAACAAAGCGAATTTTCTCTATAAATCAGCTAAAAGTTACTTTAGCTGAGCAAGCAATGTAAAAATATTTGTTAAAATAATAATAATGAGAAAACTGTGCAAACATATTTGTTAAAATAACAAAACGAAATTTACTCTAATGTCGGCTAACATGAACTTTAGCAGGAACATCAGCGAATAACATTCTATTCGTGTAACTTTGGAACATCCAACTAAAGAATGTTTGCTGCCGCTTGAAGAGCTCTAACTGGGACCACCATGAGCTTCATAACGAACTAGGGAAATACCAAATACTATATATATATATATATAGCACAATGGAATCCGGCATTTATACCTACATCTCTGATATATACTCGTATTTATGTGATGCAATTGCCGTGTGCAAGTTTCTATTTGGGGATTATAGTAGAAGTAGTACGGAGTACGGAGATATGATGACAGAGTTAGAGTCGCCAGATTTTGCGACCTTAAAGTAAACTGTTTTTTGACTTTTGGCCAACAACTATTCAGCTAATCAACGTTTCTTTGATGTTGTGTGTACAAAATGGGGGAAAAACATTTGCATTTGCAACCAGTTGTCGCCGCTTACTTCTCGAAGATTAGCTCGCCGGTGAGGAATGGATTGAGATATGTCTGGGCATCGTAGCCAGAGACGCTAGCCGTAGTGGTGCGACGACGAGCCTGACCACCACCAAAACCACCACCACCACCAGCACCGCCCCGACGATCGCCATGGGAATGAGTGTGAATGTGATGCGAGGGTCGCTTCTCGCTATTGCTCGGACTGAGTATTAGCGGTATGGGCATGGAGGTGTACAGTTGTAACGGTTGCTGCACTATGGTGCCAGCTGCTGGATTCAGGGGTGTGTCCATATAGCCGTGTGGTGCTGCTGCTGCTGGCGCCGTTGGTTGCTCGGACGCTGCTGGGTAGCTGCTCGGTAGTGCGGTACTGCGTTCCGCTGGTAGCTGCTTCTTTTGGACACCAGCACTACCGAGTCGCGCTCGATGGTGCTTGTAGTGACCGCGATGAATCTTTCGCTTTGTATGCATCAATCCATCGGACGATGGGGGCGATGTGTCCAGCACCAGTGGCACCACATTCGATGGCGACAACTGCTGCTGCTGATCCAAGCGATAGGTGCCTGAATCACTGCCGGTATTGTTCGAGTTAAAATTGTGTGTTGCTGTTGGTTTCTTGAGCGTGGGTTCGCGTGAATGCGGATGCGCCTGTATTATGGTGGCGGTGGCAAATACCTCCTGGAAACGATTGCTCGCCTCCAGCTGCTGGAGCTGTAGATGTTGCTTCGCAAGGAACTGCTGGCGTTGCAGCTGCAAACGATTTAGGATGCGGTACTGTTCGAGTATGTGCTTGTAAAACTGCTCGGCGCTGACTTCCGATGAGTTTATTAGGCGTATGGCAATCTTTTCGGGTATCACAATTTTATCTGCAATAAAAAAGTCCAGAATTGTAAATGATAATCGTCATCGTCGTAATAATAATAATATAATATAGTATCTTGTATCGCATATCGAAACCAATTTCATGGCTGGTGACAATGCGTTTATTGAACCGCAACCAAACGACTGCATGTGCGTGTGTGTGTGTGTGTGTGTGTTGTATGTGTGTGTGTGTGTGGGTGTGCAGGAGATAGCCCATTGACCCAATTTCGAGTTGATTTAGTAAAATGGAAAAGAGAGAAATGCGCCAGCAACAGCAACAAGAAGCAAGAAGCAAGAAGAAGCAGCAGTTTCACGCCCTTCCGGCAAAACAACAACACACGTAACGACAGCGTTCCGAGCCGTTAGTTTGTGGGTGCTGCTGGGGTGCTGGTTGGATTCGGGCTAGTTGGGTTCGGGGCCTGGACTTGGGCTTGGGCATGGGTGTTATGTGGTTTTGGCTTATATGCAATTTATGTGTTAGCCCAGTGGAAAGTGCTTTGTGCTCCAGTTTAATTTAGACCCACAGTTGACCACAAACTAAAAACCGTAAAATTCCCCATCCCGCCCAAAAACACACCCCTACCACCCACCATTCCCGCCGCTAAATAACAGCATCTGCTTTTAATAGGAATTGCTCAAACATTTTTGTGATGCAAAGCAACAAATTTATAACTTAATTTCCAATTATTTAAGAAATGTTATATTTCTGCATTTATATATATATATTTTTGTTAAATATATTTATTTTGTTATTCATTTAACTTACCGCACTGGTTGGCCTTGGTGACAAAGGGACGTATGGTTGGATCCCATATGAATATATAGTATAGCGATAGCATAATGGCAGCAAGGGAAACGCATAGGACGTAAACGGCTACCGTTAGAATGCGGATGACCTTACGGTTGCTCTGCTGCGGCTGATAGCAGCGGCTTATTGTCTCCGTCGGCGGCAATTTCACTTTCTCCTCAAGCGAATTGCTTTTCGAATTCATTTTCAACAAATTGTTCTCGTTTTTGTTTTCTTTTTTGTTTATTGTTTATTGTTTGATTCTGTTGCTTTGATTTTATTATTCTTTTTTTTGGCTTTCAATATAATATTTGATTTAGATTTATTTGTGCTGCATTTTTTTGTTTTGTTTTTTGCACTTTCCTTTTTATAAATATATATATAAGAAATGTTATTTTATTTATTTTTGATATGTGGGCAGTGCAAAATTTGTTAGTCTAGTTATTATTATAAATGCAATGTTCTTTTGTAGTTGTTGTTGTTTTTATTGTTATTGTTTGAACGCGTCGCGTTGCGCTTGAGGTTAACAGTTTACAAAGTTTTACTGTACAATGGACTATAAAAAAAAGTGGTGCTGCTGCTGCCAACCGACGCGTCGAGCGAATGCAAGCCAAATGACGACCCAGAACACGAGGGAAAATAAGCCACAGCCAAAAAGCAGAGCCTGACGCCGCTGCCGCTGTCGCTGCTCTGCTGTCAGCAGCCAATGCAGCAGGAGTGTAATCGACTTTGGAGCATCACACTTCGTGTCGCTAACTGTTCGCGTGGCTTAGCCTTCGTGCCTGCGCCCGAAGGCGCGCCTCGTCGCCATATGCCGATCCTCTCGCTCTACGTTCTGCTGCTGCCGCTGCTCTGCTGCTGTTCTTTTTTTCGGCATTTTTTCCCACATATATAATTTCATTCATAAAATGCCTGTTTGCTTGCTGCTTTGCCTTGCTCATTTTCATACACACACACATACATGCATGCATGCACAAAATATGATACATCAGCGTCGGCGTCTGCTTGCTGTTGTTGTTTGTTAAAATGTAGCTGGCACGCGTCGTTCGCATTCCAAACAAAAACAATGCGCTGCTGGCTACGACTGCGACTGCAGCGGCGACGACGGCAGCAGCACGTCGGCACGTCTTGAGGCCTGTCCACTGCTTTATGTGTCAAGAGCGAGACGCCCACCCCACCGACACCCCCACCACCCCTCCTCGCCTACACGCCTGGTGTGAGTCAATCGGCGTTTGGCATTTGTTTATATTGTTTTTGCTATTGCTGTTCATTGCACGCGGAAATCGAAATGCGCGCCTGATTTCTGCCCAAATATCAACAACAAAAAAATTAAATATATATATAAGATATAAGAACATCAATCAATTCAAATGAAATCATGCTCCAATTGCATTTGCCAGTATATTTTAATTTTTTTCTTGCCTAGGGTGACCATGCGCGCGGGCAACCTTCGCTGGCGGCGTTGCGAAGGACAGCAAAAAGGCAAAAGGCAATGCAAATAAGAAACAAATCCATACTTATGCACGCATACACATACATACATGTATACATACACACGCCCATATGTATGGACTAGTTTGTAGTTGTTGTTGTTGCTTTTACTTTTTGCGCTTTGCTTGGGCAAACTTTCGCTGTTGGTTGTTCTCCTGCACCTGCAGCTTCGCAGGTTCGTCTGCCAAGCGATTTCGTTGTTGTACTCTATGTACTTAAAAGTTGTGAGGTGGGTATAACAACAATCACTAAACGAATGTAACGGGAGGAGGAGGAAGCTTTAGATAAATGATAATACATGCATAAATATACATATGTGTGTAGACATCCATCACATAAGAAGCGTAAAAATAGTACAAATGTACCAAAAATGGCATGTGCCTACATTTTTGCTTAGAATATATGGGCACACATAAAAATGGTACATTCTCATCACATTTGTGAAACAGATTCATTTGACAAGTTGACCATCAAAAGTTATGCTTCTACTTTATAGAATATGTATATAAGTATGCTCTTAGCTTTTTCTGCAGGGTATTTACGCACCTAGTCCTCGCTGCAAGTGCAAAACTTTTACTTGTTTTCTATTTCGATTCGGGTAACGTTGTTCGGCATGTTCGGCTGCTCGTTCGTTCGGTCATCATCGGACTGGGAGGTTAATAATCTGCAACTGGGTCACTAGGACAACGAAACGAATGCAACTGAAAAATCTGACACACACACACACACACACACAGAGAGAGCACACAGAGAGAGAGAGAGAGTTTGTGTGTGTGAGAGAGAGCGGACAGCGGCTTGGACCCAGAGCGATTGCAATGTTGGCCATTGATTTTGTTGTATAAGACTTACACACACACACACACACACACACACACGCATATAAACATCCATCATGCTGGCTAGCTTAAATGTAGGCCACACGCATACACACACACACACACACACATACACACCCAGTTCCAGTTCCCCTTTGCCAACAGACTGCAATAATGTTTTTTTTCTGCTTTTTTTTCTTGCAAATGGCCCTCAAGGAATTTTTCTTGCATTGCGGCACCTTGAATAAAACATAAACAGCAGATATGCTGATATGCCAACTCTATATATATATATATATATATATAATTAAATAGAAGTAGGATTATGCCATCAACTCGCGTTAATTGACAGAAGGTAAGGACAACTAGAGATAGATAGATACCCTGTAAGCGTTATCTAGATCGGGTCTTTGGGCACCTTTTGTGAGTATAAAAAGAATGAGCATAAAAAGAATTGCTTAAAACGCAGCCGGATTTTCTCACTTGAATTACTGTTACAAAAAATAAATAAAAATCGCTAAGTGAGTGAGTATTGTGAGCTCGACTACGATATACCCTGCACGCAGCCGTTAAATATACAAAAGATGCTTTTTCCACTTGAAAGGAATTATATCAAAATGAGACTATATTTTATTGGACTCCAACTTGGGTGTTTCTTATCCGATCTTAAAGAAATTTGTACACTTGATCAAAAATATGTCAATGTATATTTAATCGCAATTAGAAGTCAGTACAATACAAATTGTACCTGTTATTGCTTTCGGAAATCGATAAATATCGATATTTGAGAAATTTAGACAGTTATCGATAAAAATGAAGCAAACTTGATGGGAGTCGAGTATACGAGAAGCTATGCCTGTTACATACATTTGCCCAGAAATGGGTACATTTTCAATGGTTTCAGGTTATAAAAATGATAAACAGTTACAAATTCGAGCAGGTTTTCACTAATCTCGATGATATCTTACCAACTTTTTGCAACTCAATGGCTCAAAGACTGAGTTGGCCCAGTTAGCCAAAGGCCGGCGCCTTCTTTTGTCCCTTGAAGACGGGCGGCATCCGGGAGTCCCAGGCAAAGAAATGATAGATGGATAGAATGAAGCCGAGGCTGCACAAGCCGCACAAATAGATCACAATGACAAAGTAGCGGGCAAAACGTTCCGAGAATGTTGGCTCCGCAAAAATAATCTCCTCCAGTTGCGGCGATTTGGGTATGTAGGAGTAGGTGCTGCGACGGGGAATACCGCTGCTGGCCAATCGAATGTTCCGCGAGCTGCCAATGACAATGTTGGCGGCTGGCTCCTCGTCCTGCACATTTGAGCCAATGAGGTTCACTATTTTGGCCAAGTTAACGGCGGCCGCTGCACTCGGCTGCTGTTCACCGGACATTTCTCTCTAAGTTGGTGCACCTCCTGGTCAACTGGACAAGTAGACAGCTGGACAGCCGAACAGCTGGCCCAACTTGCTTTGCGTCGCAGCGATTACTGATTTCATTACTTTGACGCTGAAGTCGATTAAATCAAAATCGGATCGTCAAAGCGGCTGACGCAAGCCAATAAATAGGAAAACCAAAAAAAAAAAAAACAAAAAGAGACAGAGAGAGAGAGAGAGAGAGAGAGAGAGGGAGGTAGAGAGACAGCGCTATAGCTGCACTGCTCTGCGATTTAGCCGTACACATGCTAAAGCGGATTAGTTTTGTGCGTGCCTGTCAACTTTTTTATAACAGACCCGCCAACACAGCACCGCCAGTACCCTCTACAAACCCTACCCCAGCACCCTACACTCGACATATAAGGAATTCTTGGAAATGTACCATTTTTATATATCTAAATTGGAATGGGGTATAAGTATATATATATATATATATATCTCTTTATATATATTTATATATATTTTCCAGTGTTAATTACGTAACTTATGAAAAAGAGGCACGATTTTGAGTTGAAAAGTACCATTTTCCAGGTGAAAATCGATTAACAGATACTTTTTTTTAGCTGATGAACTGATAAGCATTATATATATATAATATTAGAAGGATTATGTATTAATATTAATACTTTCATAGAAGAAAAACAAACTTTATGTTTAAGTTAATAAATATTTAAGCATTAATATACAATTTAATATATATATTTATATACATATATATATAAGATAAGATGTACCAAAAGAAAAGAGAGTGACAGGTACATATTTTGGTACATTTGTACCAGCGCTCGACAACCTCGATTCTAGCTTGCCACCAATGTGGCACTTTCTCTTTCAAAGCACGAACACCCTACAAATTAATCCCCACCAACTTGGGACAAGTAAATAGATATCAAAAAATATATATATTTAAAATGAAGACCCCGAAGAACGTGGAGAACTCACCCAAAATAATGTTGATGAGAAGCACGAATTGTGGCACTGTGGCACTGTGGCTTTGGGTGGACTTGGCGAGTGCTAAACTAGCCAATGGGATGCGTATGCTTGAACACTGGCAGCGGTGGCATCCGTGAGTCCCAGATGAACATATAGTACATGGCCAGAGTTAGGCCCATGCCGCTGACACCGCCCATGTAGAGCATTAGGGTTAGCAGGCGAAAGGTTTTCGATTCGAAGAAGTCATCCGATTTGGGCACTTGAATCTCCTCGTCCTTGGCCTCCTTGACCACAGCAGCCATGTTATTCATCATTGCTGCACACGTACACAATGTCGAAAACAAAAACAATAACAATAACAAATGAGGCTAAACGAGGCAAGCGTTAGAAATCTGCGGTATTCCACGGCTCGGCGTCTCTGGAGGCGTACTGAATGACGGCGGACCAATGCCGATGCTTTTGCCCCTGCAATTTGCTCGGTTTTGCGGTTTCCTTATGCATTTGTATTTTGTGCCACTTCTTGTTGCAATTATTGTTGTTGTTGTTGCTGCTGCTGCTGCTGCTGTTGTTGTTGTTGTTGTTGTTTGTTTTTATTATTGCGGTTGCTTCTGGCCGAGCGGTTTTTGGGCGCTGCATCGTTGTTTGGATAGCGTCTTGACCGCCACGCTAATAAGATTCAACACCCTACACCCTATGCCCATACCTGCACCAACTTGCACCAACTTGCACCCACCATGCCACCAGCACCTTGCCAACCCACCCTGCCCCTGCTGCCTGTGTGCTATCTTCCGTTGGGGCCTCTTCCACAACGCCCACATCACGTGCGATATTCTTTTAGCCACTTGACCTGGTTTGATTCGCTTCGAAATTTGTCTCTTTTTTGTTGTTGCGCTTTTCTTCTTGTTTTCCTCTTCTTTTTTTTACTGTACTCTATCCACAGCAGACCCTACCATAGGCTTGCCACAGTCAACTACAACAACAAGTTACACATGAAGAAATTTTGTACAATTTTCTTAACTTTTGGCATATTTTAGTAAGTTTTCAGTTTGCTTAGATCAGAACTTTTGAGATGAGTTAAAGCTGCTAAATATTTATATTAAATTATATATTTATTTGGATATATTTAAGTGTAGGGTATTCATTGTTCGAGCTTGCTTGCAAGCAATGTGCATGGGCAAATCCAATTAGACATGGTCGATGTCAGGGGGTAGGCTGAGTGGCTGAGTGTTCTAGGGGAGCTTAGCTCAGACATACCTCTCTCTCTCTCTCTCTCTCTCTCTCTCTCTGGATGTTTCTCTTTCTCTCTCTCTCTCTATGTCTGTGTGCGTCTCACTGGTACTCGTGTACTTTCTGCACCGGGTGCCCGCCAATTGAGACGGGAAACTTCAAATGTATATCGGGCATGCCGGAGTCAAAGAAGATTAGATAGTAGAAGGCGAGAGCCATGCCCAGTCCACTGATGCCGCCCAAATAGATAATGATGGAGATCAGGCGAAAGGTTTTCGATTCAAAGAACGCCGATGTTGGCTGCTCCTTGGGCAGACTGACATCATCCGGCAGGGGATCGCTGCTCGCAGACGCTGCCATCGCGTACCGTTAACCGTTAACTGTACGGCGGCAACTTGGCATCGGCGTACTTAAAGCACCTCCAATTATGCAAATGAAGCGTGTGCATTCCTAATCCCAACCGACATTGATTGACTTCAATCGACTTTTGATCGACCTTCAAATCAACGCAAAGCCAAAATGCATTTTTATATATAAATATATGTATATAAAGACTGGGTATATCAGTTCAAAAATGCTCTTTAAATTGACAGGTTGATTTTCATTCGAAGTGTGAAAATGGGGAACAGCAGCTCAGCTGCAATAACTAATTCAACAATTTTAGACTAGTCGAGAGAACTCGTCTCGAAGATATCCTGTTAAGTGTTAAGTGTGTTGAGGCAATTAAAATACAGTTTCTAGTTTAGGACACTCAAATGTAAAAAGGTAATTAACTTTACTGTTATCTAATCTATCTATATTTGTGCTCATTTCGATTATCATGCTTCTCTCACAAACAATATGATATATATATATAAATCAGTTATTCTTATCTTGCTGAAATTTTTCCAGTTGATCAATAATATGTCAAGGTAAATCTAAAACTCAGTTGAGAGGCAATATCTTAATCAATTGGAATGCTATCGGAATGCGAAACTACGGCATTTATAGATAACATGAAGTAGACTGTGCTATGTGCATGGCATACAAGAACATATATATACTGACGAACTTATATATATATATATAAATATCTGCTACATTTTACACACCTTTTAACACAACTTGAATGTATCATTTCTTATTTATTTATTGAACATCAACTAAAGTCACTCGCCACAAAAATAAATACAAAAACTGATGCATTAAATTGAATTAAAAATAAAATGTAAAATACAATTTAGAAAATAAATAAATAAATAAGAAATATTGATAAGATTTCTGGCTGTATTTAAACGATTACGGACAACCCAGAAAAAAACCCAAAAAAGCTAAATATTATTCAGGAGAAAAAACGCTTAAAAATTGAGTTCTTAATTATAAATTTTAGAGGACTCTGAATTGATTACAGATGATAGAGTCTATTGTAATCATTGTAAACTACACGAAAGACTTTAATTGAAGTATTGCAAAAGGCAAGAAACTCTTCAGCAAAGATTCCAATCAAATTTAATGAATCGGATTCCAGAATTGGACGTAGACGAGAAGGGAAAAGCATCTTGGTCGTGTCAGGCTCATAAAGTTCCTTAATAAAACCACAAAAACTTGACAGTGAATTCAATTTCAAATCAAATCAAAATATATATTTATTAAGGTATATTTTGTAATTTGGCAGGCACTGTGGAGAAATGCAAGCCCGTCCAGAGTCGCGAGTACAGCTTCGAGGAGGCGATCACGTTGGCTGGTGTTGGCCGATTTCACCTGAAACTGCTGCTGATCTGTGGCATGTGCTTCATGGCTGTTATGGTGGAGATAATGGGCGTTAGTCTAATCATGCCACTGGTCAAATGCGATCTGAATGCCACACTGGGTGAGCAGGGCATACTCGCCTCGGCTGGCTTTCTGGGCGTCGTTCTCAGCTCGCATGCGATGGGCTTCCTGGCGGACACTTGGGGTCGGGTCGCAACGCTCCGGATTGCGATAGCGCTCAGCGCGATCTGCTCGATAGTGTCCGCGTTTTCGGTCAACATTTGGATGCTGATCGTGTGCCGTTTCCTTACCGGCTTCTTCATCTCCGGCGGACAGGCGTGTGTGTTCAGCTTGTGTGGCGAGTTCCATGGCAATGGGTCTCGTGTCCGTCACGTCACACTCCTCTCCTGCTTCATGTGCATTGCCATGATGTTTGCACCCGGTAAGTGCCCATCAAATGTCCAATATTTAGGTAACCTTCACTTGCTCCTCTTTCAGCTGTTGCCATTGGCATTCTGCCGTTGCAGTTCGAGGGCTCGTTGCTGGGCTTGCCACTGTCCTCGTGGCGTTTGTTCATCATTGCGGATGTTTCGATATCGCTGATAGCAATTGTGGGTCTCTATGCGCTGCCGGAGACGCCCAAATATCTGCTCGTCCAGGGTAACGTGGAGGAGGCACTGCAAACGCTGGGCAAAATCTATGAACAGAATTTTGGACGATCTGCCGGCGATTATCCCGTCAAGCGTTTATCGCCACAAACCGGTGGCGCCAGTTTGTCCAGCGTTCACAGTTTCTGTGATGCAGTGCGTCTCGTCTGGCAGCAGACGGTGCCGCTGTTCTATCGCTCCCGCGTCTTCCACACACTGAACATCTGCACCACACAGTTCATCATCTATGGCATTGCCCAGGGCATATTCATGTGGTTCCCCACCATACTCAACGAGCTGGGCAAGCACAGTGGTGAGGGCTCATTGCTCTGCACCATCTTGCAAGGCTTCAACACACCCGCCGAGACCGAGATCGCCTCAGACAGTGTCTGCCACATAGCAGCCGATATCAATACGTACCAGGTGATGATCTGCATTGGTGGTGCCTTCACAGTCATCTATCTGATATTTGCCTACACCATCGATATGATTGGCAAACGGAATCTGCTGAGTGAGTAACGGATAGATCTAGATGATGGATGGATCACCATATACTCATCATATTTTACAATCTATACAATCTATACAGTTGGCTGGATGATGTTGACAATTGTGTGTTTGATCCTGTTGCATTGGCTCGAGAATTTTGCACTGGTTGTCATCGCTCTGACCATATCGATGGCCATTGGCAATTGTGGGGGCTTGGTTAGCACGATTGCTATGGATTTCTATCCGACGCAGATAAATGCGATGGGCATGTGCTTCATCATGATGGTGGGTCGCCTGGGCGCTGTGGTCGGCAGCAATCTGTTGGGACGACTCCTGTTCAATAGCTGTGACACTACATTCTGGGCACTGCTTGGCGTGGTCAGCGTGCTCAGTGTGATGACATACTTTCTACCGGATCAGGCCAACACTGCCAACACCTCCAAGGCCAAGTCTGACAGCATCAGCAGCGCCACCACCAGCAGCAGCCAGGAAATTAGCTCTAAGTAACTGTAGCTCCGTACTATCTCTAACTATGTAGTTGTAAATTTTGTATAAAAGTAAAGCAAAAAACTAGATGAATTCAACACGGAACGGGAACGTCAATGGGAACGGGCAACGGGTGCCTGGAGCAGTTGCTGAGCAGGGGGGAACGGGAACGGGAACAGGAACGGGAACGGGAACGGGAACGAGAGCAATTGCATTGGAAATGGATTAAGTAAATGTTTGTGCTCATTTCAACAGTTGTTGTTCTTATTAAATACCCTCGACTAACAATGATAGCTGCGCATCGTTTAGACTACAATTTTGAAAATGAACAATATATATATATATATATATAAATATAATCAAGTTCTCTTTGGAAAACATCATTCATGAACATTTATTTCTACTTTCAATCGTTTCTCTATTTATAAAATAAAATGTTTTTCAAATCTCCATCAATTTCTCTATCGGATTTGTAATTTGAATTCCTAAAATTAGATATATCATAAAATATACGTGTAGTTTTGAAGAGGATCCTCTGTTAATGGAGTACAAATTGGTTATATTTATGATATGTGACTAACTTTAGAATGAAAAGTTCTTTAGACAAAATATGCAATTTTCTTTTGCATTTTCCTATTTTTTTTATTCAATTCATTTCTGGCTTAAGCCCAACAGATTATTATGAAGCAGAGCAATATGTTAATCTTAAATATATATATATATATATATAAAGTGGATATTGGAATGCCAAACCGGAACCGAAACCGCAGCATTATCTATAGAAAATAACGAACCAAAAACTCAAAGGAAAATCATTTTGAAGAACCTTTTACAGAAATCGCAATGAGTCAAAATAATAACGAATAACGAAAGAAAGAAAGTAGTCCAACAAATTCATAGGAGAATCTTCATCTTCGTTCCGGAACCGGAACCGAAACCGATAAACATCTTCTGTGTTCAAGAAGAGAAATATTTAACAAAACGACAACAAACGAAAACAGAGTCTGACAGATGATGTGAATGGGTATTTACAGGGTATACTGCTAGTGCAACAGTCAAGTCTATTGACTTACTTAGTTGCTTTGCTCGTCGTCAACGTTGTCATTTGTCGATAGTTGCTGTTGCTGCTGCTGTTGTTGCTGTTGTTGTTGCTGTTGTTGCTGTTGTTGCTGTTGTTGTTGCTGTTGCTGCTGCTGCTGCTGTTGTTGCTGCTGCTGGCTGCATTAACATTCTTCACATTGGCTGTCCTCTTCAGGCCTCTATTGCTCTTGCCTTCTACCACTGTTTGTTTGTTGTTCGGGGAGTGGTGGCAGTGTTGGGTAGACGATGGGGGAATGGTGGAATGGGTGTTGGGGGGGGGGTATGTCGCACACTAAACGCATTCCAACTGCAAAGTCTGCCGCATGTGGCAATCGCAGTAAGTACGCTTTTATTTATACAACAACGAACGCTGTTTGCACCGCCAACTGCACCGCCAACCGCACCGCCAACTGCACCGCCAACCTCACCGCCACACCACAGTCTCCAAAGAGTTTCAGTTTGAGTCTGATCCACCGGCAGCTGCCAATCATAAATACGCGTACGTAACACACACGTTGTCCATTCGACAAGCTAGCGGTCCTCAGACCATCATTGACTCAACTCGCCTCGACTCGACTCGACTCGACTCAACTCGACTTGACTCTGGCCTCGACTTATATGGCTTGGAGACAGATAACCAAATAACAACTGCCAGATCCCAGTCCCAGTCCCAGTCCCAGTCTCATCTCCCAGTGCCATCTCCCAGTTCCAGTTCAGCTGCGTCTCAGCTTCCCCTCTCCGTTCCCATCTCACTTCGACTTGGCCAGTTGTTTGGGTGTACCACAAAAAATAGATATATACTCGTATTATTATTCTGAGCAATAAATATTGTAGATATTGCAGATGCAATTCTAATATTATTCTTTATTATTATATATATATATTTTTTAATTTTAATCTATGTAAATTTGAGTTAAATTGGGACAGTTTCCCCCTTTCCCTAGTATTAATCTAGAGTTAAAATCATGAAGCTAAGTTGTGGCTTTGGGAAGTTTTGACCCGTCCCTAGAAGTACTCTTTGAGGGTCATCGCTTTTCCAATTTTAAATGTGGTTTTTTATATCAAGGTCAATTCATGACCATCTTTCATTAATTTGCTCTCTCTCCTCCAAGTATGTTTTATTGATATTCCATTAATTTTTTTATCTATCTTAAGATTATCATAACAGTTATATATCTGCTATCTTTTATATGCAGTTCATCTGATATTTATCTTCTATGTATCTTTATTTTTATATTGAGTCTATCTTTCGTTTAAATATCTATCTTTTTATATTTCATATCTCTTTAATATATCTTTCATCTGTTTGCTCTCTTTCCTCCAATTATATTTTATTGATCTGCCATTTATTTTCAATCTATCTTTAGTTTATCTTAACAGTTATTTGTGCTCAATTTATCTTGCATTTTTCATAATTCCATCTTCCATTTATTTTCTCTGTATGTTTCATTAATATTGAGTCTATCTTTAAGTGATATATGTATCTATCTATCTAACTATTAATCTATCTATATATCATACATTTTCTATCTATCATTAATGTATCTTAGCAGTTATTTATCTTCCAGCTATCTCTAATTTATATTGAGTATATCTTACATCTATCTGTAGTCTATATTCGATTTATCTTATCTGTAACTTCCCTTTATCTTATGTGCAGCACTCCACCGATCAAATGTATCTATATCTGTTTGCGTATCTGTATCTGTATCTGTATTCTGTATTCTGTATTCTGTATTCTGTATGCTGTAAACTGTGTATCTGTTTCTGTATCTAATCTATAGTTAATAGACTGCACCACATGCCTGCCCCTTTTTGTGTGGTGTCATGATTGATGGCGAGAGGGCGTGGCATCTGCATGCAGAGTGTTTGTGTGTCGACTGTGTGTGTGTGTGTCTGTGTGTGTGTGCGTGCGTGTATGTGGATTGTGGGCTGCTAATGTCGCGGCAATTAAGCGGCAGCAACAACTGTCGTCGTTCCATCAATCATGGCGAAGACTGCTCTGCCCGACAATGCTGGGGTTCGGCTATGTTGACCCACAATGGGCCACAAATTAGGCGGTAATGTCGGCTCTTCTCTGTGTCTGTGTGGCTATCTATTCAAATAGAGAGGAGAGCATACAGAGATAGAGAGAGAGAGAGAGAGGGGGGGGGGGGGCAGAGAGGAGCATTGGGGGTACTGTTCAGAAAGAAAATGCAGGTGGCGTCTCGTCTACGTTGACTGACTGCTAACTGGGCAACAAGCACGACAACAACAAACAGCAAACAACAACAGCAACAACAACAACAACAACAGCAACTTGGAAGAGGACGTGCCGTGAAATAAAATCAGAAATAAAAGTCGCACGTCCAAATGGGGCAGCATCAACTTGAACAACTACAACTACTGTGGCTGAGAGCCGAGCAGCCGACCAACAACGGCAAATGGCAAATGGCAAAAATAGTTAAATAGTCGACTTAGGCAAATTGGCACGAGGCGATCGCAATGGCAAAACAGGCAACGGGCAACTGGCAACTGGCAACTGGCAGCTGGCTAACGTGCAACATACACTGGCCAAAATAAATGCCAATGACAACGAAACAAATTTCACAGTTTTTACAAACTTTGTCAGCCAGTTTGGAGACCTCTTTTTGTAGCAAGGCTCTATGCACTATATGTCGAATCCGAATCGGTTTACTATAGCTTACAGCTAAATGAACTTCTTGTTTGAACAACTTTCTTGTTTAGCTCCTTTTTGCTCTGCAAGAATATAAAATTTTCTTCTATTTCTTCTTACTTGTTATTTGAACCTTGCATCGAACCAGTTTTTCAGACAACTACCCAATTTGAACCTGAGTTGAAACACTTTTTTCTTTATATATTTTTCTGGGATATTCTAAAAAATATGGAGTATTTTTAATTGAACTTGAAGATAAGCAACCAAAACCAGAACTAATTTTATTATATTAAAATGTGTCAATTTTAGGTAATTATTTTTGGGAATTTTTTACATTGTTACGGAACCAAAAACCAATAACATTGTCACGAACCAGACCAATTTGTGAACCAATGATTGGAGCCATGAACCGAACCAGATACAAATTTTATTCAACTTTTGAAAAATACTTGACAAATGCATAAAAATGCAAGAAAATGTTTCAACCGCAAGCGATGTGGTTTTTCTGAGTGTAGCAAGTGGCAGCTGACAACAACAACAACAGAAACTGCTGTCCAGGAGCAGCAATCGGAGCAGGTGAGTTGAGGAATTACAATGATGCGATGCCAGTCATAGAACGAGGCGACGTTAATAGATTTACACGCCAACTGAAAACAAGCAAGAAATGAAAGACAACAACAACAACAAAAACAGCAGCAGCAACAGCAGCAGCAACTGTTGCTGATGATGCCAAATTGAAAAGTAGACTGCGCATGCGTGGAATGGGAATGAGAATGAGCACAGAATCAAACAGAAGAAGAAATGAAGAAAGACACAGCAAGAGAGAGAGAGAGAGAGAGAGAGAGAGCGAGAGAGAGACGACAACTGTTGTTGCTGTTGTTGTTGTTGTTGCTGTATCCATGTACAGCTAATGAAGCGAACGGATGCATCGTTTATGCGCATCATTTATTGTGATAACGATCATGCGTTAAATATTTGCGAAACTTGAAACATCTTTGATAGTTCTCCAAAAACAAGCAACATCAAAATCAAATCGCATTTTTTTTTAGATTAAGCACTATTAAAACAAATTGTAATTATATAATATACATATATATTAAGTGTATTTCAAATAATAAAAAGAAAAATATAAATTTCATATATTATTATCATGATATAAAAGATTTTGTAAAAATTGCAATTATTAAAATTTGAGCAGAATCGAAAAAAAGAGAACATAAAAAAGGAAGAAGAAAAATCATCACAAATGATAGTTGTTATCAAGCAGTGCATAACGGGCCAATTGCCTATGTATGTGTGTGTGTGTCGCATAAGCAAGGCAGTTGACGAGGACGCCAAACAACGACGAAAGCCTAAACGCAGACGCAGACGGAGTTGCAGACGACGTCGACGTCGACGCCCGACGCCAAGTCAAACGTTATTTAATCAGAATCGCAAAGGCAAAAGGCACAGACAGACATACAGACCAGCGGACAGAGGACAGAGAAAGAAACACAAAAAAAATGTTGCCAAGACGTCTCAGCAGCGTCTGCAGCGCTAAACAACGACAGGTGGCTGCTGGCAGCGACGTCGACGTCAACGTCGGCTGCTGCTTTAAGCACAAAAGTGCAGTAAAGAAATAAAAGTTGGCAGCAGGCGCAGCGGCAGCAGCCGCGACGGCCAATCAATTCTGAGAAATGAAAATGCCGTCTTTGGCATCGTTGTTGTTGTTGTTGTTGTTGCTGGCACAATTGTGCAAAGCAAGAGCCCCACACACATAACCACACACACACAACACACATCAACATAAAAGAATGCGAAGAAATGCAAAATGCAAACACCACGAGCCACTTTCCAAATGCATTCATGATGTTTACCGTTGAAATGCGCCCAGTTGCCGCCGCTGCGTCTCTCTTTCTCTCGCTCTCACTGTGTGTGTGTGTGTATAAAAGAGAGGCTGCATCGCAGACTCTAACAGCAAATGTGGAGAAATGAACAAGCACCAACAACAGCAACTTTAAATCAAGCACGCACACACACACAGATAGACAAGTGCTGACAGCAGAGTTGCCAATTGCGCTGATTTTAAGCAGGTGCTAATAAATATAAAAAAGAAATATATGTATAGTAATAGTATATGATGCATAATAAATATATTTGGTGCTTGTTAAATTAAAACCCAAAAATTTATAACAAAGATAACTTATCGGGAAATGTTAACAAGCTTTGACAATTGGATGTAAATAAGTATTGACGACTCTTTTGCCAGCAGTGCTGACATTTTGGCTATTTAATAGCTATTTTTGCGCATTTCGATTGCTCTAGTTATCGGTTCTCTTTTGAACTAGATCAAGTTGTTGCAATGTTGCAGTCAATAGTATGTGGCTTTTTATTTGTTTCATGTATTATCAAACAATTTAAAAATAGTTAAACATTTATTTGTGTTTGCAGTGCTGCCAACACTGGTTGCTACAAATTAGGTGCTCGCTTTAAGTTCAAGTTCAAGTGCGCCTGCCACTGAATATGATCCTGCAGGAGCTTTTAAGCAACATTTGAACGGCCAATTGTTAAATGATTCTGCATTATTATTATTATTTGTGAACCAAATCGAGCCGAACTGCAAAAGTGAAGCAACAAGTGCTAATTGAGCCTCTACTGCGAGCGAGTGAGCGATGGAGTCTGTGTGTATGTGTGCGAGCGAGTGAGCGAATGCCAGTTGCTATGCTCTGCCGACGGCGCAGTCGCCGCCTGTGCTGTGCTCATTTGTGCAGTTTGGCGTCGCGTCGCGACGCGATAGCGTTGAGAGAACGCGGCGCCTGCGCAGCATAGTCACAGCCGGCTGCCTCTGTCTCAGCCGCCGTCGCAGTCTCAAGATTTTGCCGTCTGTCTCTGTGTGTGTTGTTGTCTTGAATTTCTTCTTGTGCTGCTGCTGCTGCTGCGACCGACTGCTGCTGTTGCTGTTGCTGTAGCTGTTCCCGACAGTTACATTACGAGGCCAAAGAAAGTATCTTGGTTGGTTCGCGTGTATTTCGCGTTCGTCGCTCGACGAGTTCACACGTCTTTCGCTCGCCTTGGCGCATCAGCTAGTTCGAATTTCGAATTTCGCATTTCGTATTTGTATTCGAATTCGAATCCCCGCATCGGATCGTGAACGAGTCTCGTTTTTGTCTCGTGCTCGCCCCCAGTGACCAGTGTTGTCGAGTGTCTTAAATTCTTTACACACACACACACACACAAACACACATACATAGATATATTTTTTTGCTGTTCGTTTCGCAATTACCGTTGGTCAGACTTGGAGATCGCAGTGAAGTGAGTGATGTTGTTGTTGTCAGACATAATTTAACCCAGAGCGGGCAACTAAAAAACGGACAACTGCATAGTAAAAAAAAACTACTACTATAAATAAAAAAGGTTTTTTTTTGTTGTGTTTACATATTTTTTTTTTGTTTTCACTCATAAATTGATTGTGTTCAAAACGAAAACAACAAAAATGTGCACAGCAAGGATCTCAATTGGAATCCAATCAGACACCTTACGAAATATAAAAAATATGAAGAAGAAGCAGCAGCTAAATACCGTTGCACCTGCACAGAGCCGATTAAGCCTCAAGAAGGGGGCAGGGGGATATAGGCGTTGTTGTTTTTTAGGGGGGCCAAGCGGATTCGACATTTCATGCTTTCTAATTTTTCCCAATTAGCACAAAAGCTGTGTCTGCCTTCTCTGTCTCGCTCTCTCTCTTTTTCGCTCTCTCCCTCTCTCTGAGAATCGAAACCAAAAAAAATCAAAGTTTTTCATTGCTTATTTATTTTTTTATTGTTCTTTAAAAGCTGTGAAGAGCATTAAGCATAATCATCGTAATCATTACACACACACACACACACACAAATCAAAAAACGAACAACGAATGCGACCCACAAAAAGTGGCTTGTCATGATTTTTACCTCCGTCTCCCATCCAATTCGTCTCCTTGCACTCGTTACTTATATTGACAATTTAACCAATGCCATTCACATTCCCATTCACACACACATACACACACATGCATACACACGCATATGCACCTGTGTGTCTGTGTATTTTTGTTCCTTCTTCTTCGGCTTTCGTTTGCCACTGCAAGAAAAGAAAAAAGGAGACAGCGCAAAAGAGATGGACAGTTAAACATACACACGCATACACACGCACACACATATACAGACACATATGTGTCAAATGGCAACTAATCACTAATCAGTTGGCATCATCATCAACTTTTCAATGTGAAAAATACTTTATGATATTTACCTCCTCTAATTCGCCCCTCCCCCCACCAACACACATACCCATCAGTGCTGTCATTTTTGTTCTTTTTGTTTTACCGTTTTTTGGCAGCTGGAATTTTAGCTTTTTTTGTTTTAATTAGCTTCTCTTGTTAGCAGCGAATAATGAATAACCGTTTTTAAGTTTAATAATCAAATTTTGATGTTTATGGCATTGACCATTATAGTGATCTGCACTTGGTAAATGGAATTTTTGCTGAAATTAGAGCTTGTCCTTGAAACGCCTAGAAAAAAAGTGATGAAGAATCTTGCCAAGCGCTTACTATAGATATTAAATATTTGCTTATTGCATTAAACATAGATATTAAATATATGTTTATTGCATTTAAATTGTCTTCTTTTTTTGCACATAAAAATAGCTTTTTCTTGCTACCTACAAGTTGGCAGCACTGATCACCCCTCCCTCCTGCATTTCACCTGAGTTGCTTGGCTGGTTAGTTGCTGATGTTGTTGTTGTTGTTGTCTCTTTGCTGGTTGCTTGGCTGGTTCTTATTTACGTTACGTGTTCTGCAGTCCCGTTCAACCGATTTCACTTCATCTTCTTCTTCAGCGTACTTACATATTCTGCTGCTGCTGCTGCTGCTTCTTCTGATCGTTTTTTTTTAGTTATTTTGTTATTTATTTATTTTATTTACTTCTTTTTTTCTCGCTGGTACATTTTATGCACTCGCTTTTTCGACTTTAGTCGCAGAAAGCAAACAAATCGTTGACAACACACAAACACAGACACACACACACACACACATACATTTATACCCAAGGAGCCCGACGTGCCGCACAAGCAGATAGAAAGAGACAAATAGAAAGAGTGTTTAACACTAGGACATTTGCTTTTCAACGGTAAGTGCTTAAGTTTACTCAAAAACTATCGCTTTAAGCGAGAAATGAAATAATGGATACAAGTTGGCAAGAAGTATTGACTCTGATTCGTTAAAATATATATAACAATTAATATCATCAATTATCGAACTGCTAAGAGTGGTTTCTGTCCAGAGACAGTTTCGAACTTTTGGAAATTTATGGGGAGTGTGGAGCTTAAAAAATATGGGCAATCGGAGCTTTTTCATTGATTAATTTGCAAGTTTCAAAAGAAAAACTATTTCAAATCTTCCTAGTTTCAAATGAGAGAGAGAGAGAGAGAAAGAAGAGAGAGAGAGAGAGAGAGAGAGAGAGAGAGAGGGAGTGAGAAAGAGAGGAAGAGAAAGATAGTGTTTTAAAATGATGTAAAGAAATGCTTCGTTTTTTGACAGTTCTTTTAGTGATACGGCTAATTTTTTGTGCGATGATTTCAAGAAATATTCGCTTTTTAGCAGTAGTTTTATTGATTCGGAGTATCTCAGACAACCAAAGCTTATCTCTTGCTCATCTCATCATCAATCATCAATCTATACACATAACTATACATATAGCTATATATGTTTGCACATAGCTTAAAAAGATTATTGCTCACACAGCTTATTGGTTAATTGGGGTTGTTATTGAGAGCCTAATCAGTTCACATATCAATCAAATCCAATCAAATCAAATCGAAAGCAATCGCAATTATTTAGTAAACAATGCCCATTAGAGCCACACACATACACACACACACACACACACAGAGGCAGAAGAGATCGGTGTTAAATGCATTTGATCCGTCTTGGAGCGCATTAAATGCACCGTTAACTACCTCGAATTCTAATCAAGCTGATGCGACAAAAAGAAAAAGAAAAAAATACAAACAAACGACAAGAAGCAAAGAACGCCGCGCGGTGGCACAATAAACTCAATTCCTCGAGCCAGTTGCAACAACAACAACAACAACAAAGACTAAAACAACACACAACACACAGAGACACTTTTTAGAGAGACAGGTAAGAAACACGCGACTTGGCCATAAATGCAATGCCAACTTGCCAACTTGCCAGTTGTTGTTGTTCTTGTTGCTGTTGTTGTTGTTGTTGTCGCATCAGTTGCAAGTTGGCAACAGCTTCAGCAACACTTGTGTGTGTGTTTGTGTGTGTCTGTGTTGGCCTCAAATCATTCGCCTCTTCTGCTTGGGAGACACCCTAAAAAGCAAATGTGACGCGTTGAAGTCTCTGAGCATTTATTTGATCTACGAGTTGTCGCTAGTTGTCGCTGTCTCCCTCCCTCCCCCCCTCTCTCTCTCTCTCTCACACTCTTTTAGACAGTGAAGAAAAGAGAGAGAGAGAGAAGGAGAATAGCCATTAGGCAGATTTATGAACAGAGAAAATCAGTTCGAAGTCGTACTATTTGTCTAAAACTTGATGTGCACATATTATCCTCATTTTAGTATTTTTTTATTTATTATTTTTATAGCATGTATTTTATTAGGCATATTCAAAATTTTTTTTCTTTCGCTTTTTTTTTGTTACTGACAGTCATACAAAAAATAGCGCTAAATTGTTGCTTAGTTTTTTAGTTTTCGTTTTTATTTTTATGAGCCATCGTTTTGCAGTTGTCATTTGAAGTTCATTCAAAGTTTAAACAGTAATTTTGTTGTTTTTCTTTAATAAGCCAATTGATTTCTTTTGTAGCTGACTGTTGATTGTCATAAAAAAGAGTATTAAGTCTTTGCCAGTCTTCTTTGTAGGTCTTTTTTATTTGTATTATTGTATTTTTTTTGGGCCTATATTTTTGTATTCGTCATTTTTCATTCATTTTGGCCGCTTCTTTTGGACAATGCATAATTTATTAGCTGACGCGCAAGTCACTTTGATATTGGCCATTTACTTAGTGCCATCTTCTCTGCTTGCTGCAGCAAATGGCGAGAATAACACTAAAGATACACACACACACACACACACACACACACACACACACACACACCTACTTTTTTACAGCAATGAAAACATGCGATTGGTCATTCATTGTGATATGCTAATGAGCAGCTCAACAAGTTTTTGAACAATTTCTTGGAATCTTCTGTTTCTTTTTAATGCTGTTTTTTGGCGTCTAACTGTTCTTTGCCTTTCTACACGCAGCATCGGCATCTGATTCAATCATGAATGAAATGGAAATCTCATAAACACATCTCGACAAGCAACCAAAACGTATGAAAAGTGAGAGTGAATAGTTTAGTTTAGTTGAGTGGAGTTGAGCTGAGCTGAGCTGAGCTGAGTTGAGTTGAGTTGTGCTGGGTTGATTTGATTTGATTTGAAGAACATGCAAGCCACATTAAACATTCAAATTTAATCCGCATCCGAATCAAATAGAAACTCGAACTGTAAACTGTTTACTGAATGCCAACACGCACTATGTACTCTCAGCCTCTTACCATAAATACTTGCGGCTACTCTGCGAATGGATTCAGTATTCGTCTCATTCGAGTGTCAATCCGAGTCTCATTTGCTCTCCGCAATTTAATATTATTTCTATTGTAATTTATATGTGAATTGACTAAATAGTCTACATAAGTCGATCATTCATAATATTCTTAACTGGTTACGAGTGTGTGAACACATTCGAATGGGAATACAACAACAGTTATCTCTTCATTAATTTATTCATAACATTCACATGGGAAATGAATAAGCGAACATCTCCCATAATTTCAATGAATGCTCACATTTCGTGGAATTTAATAGCTACTGTCAAGTGTGAAGTGTCAAGTGTCAAGTGTCAACTGTGTGTGTGTGTGTGTGTGTGTGTGTGGATTGTTTCTGTTGTTAATTTTCTTGCTCGCATAAAATTAAATCTGTCAGACGCTGATAAGCGTCCCAACTCAGTTTCTCAGCAAGTTAAACATTCCCTTTCCTATTACCCCTCTTCCAGCCAACCCCCCACCACCCTCCCACCTTCCACACACACACACACACACCTATGTTTGTATAGCAGGATGCCAAGTTCTGTCGCAATTTGCAATTCACATTTTGTGCCACAAAATTGAAAAGTTAGTTTGGTAGCAGCTCTTGTGGCAGCTGCAACTATTGTCAATCTTTTAGAGCCAGCCCCATATTAACATTAGCACTGACTAGACAAAACTCGCCACATCCCTTAATACCCCAACAACTGAAATTTGTTGCACTTGGCACTTGTCCAATTGCACAATAAGAGTGCAGCTGCTCCAAAACAGCTCCAACTTTAGTTTGCTTAACTCTGATTAAGTGCTTTAGCTGACAGTTTATTTGCAGATCTAGTTTCCTATAAGTAATAAGCTTAATAAATAATAATAATAATCGCATAACGCATTTTACGGACAGAAGGAATCTTCTCCGAGTCCATTAAATTTATATATTCTTGATCATTATGTGTATGATTAGATGAATGCTTGATTTCATTTTATCGATAACTTTCCCCGTTTCGCGAATATCAATTTATTTGTCATTTGCAAATCTTACAATGCCTCATTCCATCTATTCTCGATGGAACTCTCTCTTTCTTTAATTAACATTTTTCAATAATAATACAATAATAATATAATAAATATAATATAATTAGCTGAGGTAAACATATCTTACTCCACAGTTTCAGAGTTTCAGAGGTTTGCCTATCTTTATCCTCTATCTTTCTCTCTGCCTCTTGATGATTTTCAGTTTTCCTAATCTACTCACGCTTCACAATTTTCCCCAATACTTGCAATATATATTAGACTATAATAAATTTTAATAAGCCTAGATTTATATCTAAATATAGACTATATATATATATATATATATATCTAAAACTTATGGCTAAAGACTTGGGTTCAGGCCGTCTACTATCTCTGTGTAGATGTGATTTCTCGCCTAGAGCATTCTTACTTGTTTCAAGCAATACTCAAAACTTTGTATGGCAAACAGAGGTAATTAAAGGTACATAGAGTTAGGTACATGGGGGTACATAGAGTTATTTAGAGGTAGAGGTACCATTGCTCCGTGTGCTAGCAGCAACTAGACCAGTTCGGATGGCTGGTCTAGAAACCAGTTTAATTCAAATCAGGTGCAAAAGAAAGTGAACCATTTGTAAATGTATTTTTCACTTGCATATGTATATATATATGTATATATATATATATATATAGTTAAGTTTGGATTATAATTAACATTAATTGTGGTTATTGTTGTGCAGTTTTCATTGTGCAGCAACCAGTCAAAAGCAGAAGCCGGCGAAATAGACGAATAATGGCATTGAAATGGAAAGAGAGGCGAGGAAAATGCCAACATAAAAGCCAACCATAAAATATGGTTTGTAGAAGTAACAGCGTTTTTGTTCGGTGATTTACCGTTTTGCACTTGACTTGACTTGACTTGGCTTGAAAATGCCGCTTCGATTGGAAAGTGGTTATTTTAACTGTAGTCCAATTTTGTGTTTCCCAAGCTAAAAACGCCCAAAAAAAAAACAACAACAACAACAACAACAACAAAACAAAACAAAACGAAACAACAAAAGAAAAACGAGTTGAGAAAGAAAAGTGAAAACTGTCGCACGATTTGTTTGTTGCTTTTCCATTTCATTTCAGTATCGATACTTTAATGTGTTATTAATAAAATATGGGTATCGAGTATCGAATATCGGGTATCGGGTTGCTGCCGCTGGTGCTGCTGCTGCTGCTGCCCCATAACAAAAGTTAACCGGCTTAATGCCAATTCACAATTCACAGGCCCCAAAATGCGGCGGCCGTCTTAATTGCAACTAGCTGTGGCAGCATCTGTGACTTGCTGTAGTAGTAGTTGTTGTTGTTGTTGTTGTTTTTGTTGCCATTACCATTAATTAAGCGTTAGCGGAGCGTGCAACATGCCACACGTTGTTGCCCGCCACTTTCTTTGGCTTACATATACACTTACACACACACACACAGACACACACACACACGGGGTTTTAGGTCTGCTCGTCTGGCGGCTGCCACTTGGCCAAGACGACGCCACCACCACCGCTTAAGTAGATCCCGGCCAAGATGACGACGCCACTTAATTGGCTGCTGCCATGGCGCTGACTTTGACCAAAGAGGCGTTAATCGCTATTTTTTCTTAGATTTTTTTTAGCTGATAAGCAATTGCTGAGCGTGCAACATCAACAATGACAACAACCATTACTCAGGTGTTCTTTACAGTTAGCCAAGCCAAAGAAAACATAAAACAATCAGCTACAGTTGAACTTCTCCAATTTGAACGGCCTCAAATTGTATTTTGTGTATTATGCGAATCTAGAAACAATATTCTATACCGAACGCGATCCGAAGAGAGCTCGACTAGCAGTTATACTTAACCCAAGTCTTAAGAATATTCAAGCCAGACTCTGAACCCAGCTTAGTAGACTTTTTATATATTTTTATATATATCTTTAAATTTGGTGTTTTGTATGCAATCGGAAGAAGGAAGCGGCTGATGAGCAAGCGAGAGTGGCGGCAGAGCGACCCCTAATAGAGCCAGAACCGTTTTCTGGCATAGAAAGACTCGCAATACGACTGCAACTTAGAAACAAAGAAAGACAGAGGCGACAACAGAGCTGGGCAGAGGCATCAGGACTCCGACAATCCAGATGTCTTTTGGATGGTTATAATCTTTAACGATTTAAGCAAGTAATAACCATGGGGAAGAACAGGCTGAGGATACTCACCGGACATTGTAGACTAAGAAGTCACCTAACTAAACTAGGTGAAGGTTTAGTGAAAGCGAGGAGGAATCCTCAATGCACATCCTAACAGAGTATGTCGCCTTAATCAGGATGCATCTTATGAGTTTCAAAGACATAGAAGCCCTCAACCCAGCATTTGTGCAGGTGCTGGGATTGATGGAGGATAATAGATCTAATAGGTTGCAGTGCAAGTATCCCAACAATAATAATATAAAATGTGATCGAAAATCGATTTGTCAATCGAATTAAATACACTTTATCTGGTCGGAGGTGCTCCCATCTGCCCATTATTTATTTTTGCACAATTTATTTCGAAGCCATTTACACATTTTCTCCTCTGGTTTCAGAGTATACAAAATTGTTTATTTTATTTCTTCCAATTTGTCTTACAAAAGTATTCACATACTCGATTTTTGATGGTGCTGAATTGAAGTTCGATTGTATTGAATTGTAATGTGGTCAATGCTTTGTTTAAGCCCAATCGGTTGCGGGGCCAATTAGCCAAAAGAGTGAAAAGATGCTGTCAGAAAAAAAGAGAAATTAATTGGGCGCAAATTAAAGGCAAATACACAAGATGTAGAAGACATAAATATATGTGTATATATGTATGTGTATATATATATGTATGGGAAAACATAAAAAAATGTTTATAAGCTTTATAGGCGAGAATTTACCGTTTGTCTAAGAGCGTCTCTATTGATTCGTTGTTGTTGCGGCTCTTTTGGACGTTTATACAATTTACAGTTCTGTGCGCGATTCTGACCGCATTTTTGCGCTTGAATTCAAAGACAACAACAACAGCAACAACAAACAGCAACAACAAACAGCAACAACAATCAGCAACAACAATCAGCAACAATAGCAATTCAGCTTTAACAATGGCTTGTGGAAGTTGCGGCCAACTGTATCTGTATCTGTCTATCTGCATTTTGTATCTGTATCTGTATCTGTATCTGTATCTGTATCTGTATCTGCTGCCACCTGTCTAGCTGTCCATCTGTCCATCTGTCCGAATCCCAATCTGGCTTATTGTGTGTCCGTCCGGCTTTTTGTCTCGGAGTGTAACTGAAGCAAGCCCGAAGCAATCGATTGAAAGCCGCTTGAAAGCAGCACAAACTACAAACAACAGATTCAAACCCAATTTCGATTTCATTTTCACCTGTTGTTATTTGTATTCCCTCCCCCCTCTCCCCCTCACACACACACCCCTTACTCCGCCCCAACACCTCCCCCCACAACTGCCCGGTAAAAGTGCGCAAATACGTTAGTCATAAAAGAGAGAAATACAACTCCAGATCTGCTGTTTATCTTTATTGATTTTGTTTCTTTCTTTTCTTGGGTTTTTGCTTTTATTATTATTGCTCTAATGTGGGTTGATCCAAGTTACTCACTCGTTGCTTGACTGACTGACTGACTGACTGACTGACTGACTGCGTGGCTGCCTGGCTACCTGACTGATTGATTGATTGATTAATTGCATGATTCACATAGCTGCTTGTCTGTGGCGGTAAATTCTCTTTCAAATTTTAATAGCCACCGCTGTGAAAGTGCGTTCCCCAAATTCTCAGCTCCTCAAATGCTTTTCTCCTAAATAGTCTCTCTTTCTAGCCGTTTTTTTCTTTCGCAAACTTTTGCCAGCCTCGAAGTATTTTTGGGGCTATGAAATTCAAACAACGCTAAATTGATTTATAAATTGTATATCCATTTAGTTGGGCGTTGTTCGCTAGATCGTTTAAGCAACTCAATTAGAAATACAATGCTAATTTTATATGCCAACTTTGGTATTTAGGCTCAATCTTAACTCGATTGTGGCAAGAACTGAGCAGCGGGAATTGAAGTCTGGCCCATTTGGCCTATGGCCACTTGATCCACTTTTTGTTGGTGTTGCTTGGCGTTACTTAAATAAGCCGCTTTGTCGCCTTAACAATTTTAACGTGCTTCAGGTTAAGTGCAAGCTGAACCCCAACCCGAATTTGTAACATTGTAACATGAAATTGGGCTCTGAAGTTGATGAGCCACAGACAAATTGAAGCAACACTAAAAAAATTCCACAAGAATTCTTACAACTGTTGCACTTTTTTTTTGTTTTAGTCAGAATTTATATATATATATATATATATTTCTTGATATTACTTTAAAATTTAAAAATCAATTTACCAATAGGGTACGGAATAATTAAAACAAATGTCTTTTACACGTTAATAACCGAATTATATTTTAAATTGTTCATTGTTTTCTATAGCTAAAGCCCTGATCAGCTTTGACAGTGAAAAGTTTCCTTTGTCGTTTGTTTTATACAACGACGACGATAACGATAACTTCGATAACTCTCGATAGCTGCTTAAACTTGAGTGTATTTTGTATAGTGCCTTTCGCGCTTGGAATTCGCTAATATTATCCATAACCTGATCATGGGCAATCGTTAAAGAGTTGGCCGCTTAGCGAATTGACCACAAATGCAATCCTCGCAGGCGCAAACCGATTGTTTTGCGGCTGCGCTTTTATTAACCTCCATTTTGTGGGTCACGACTGGCTTGGCTAACTGGACCAGGCGTGAGAGACGGGCCCAAAAGCATTTCGCATTTCGCACTTGGCATTCGCATTCCTCATTTCCCATTTCCCCATTTCGCATTCCCCTTTTTCCCATTTACCATTTACCATTTCCCATTCCACAATCCGCAATCCGCAATTCGCAATTCGCATTCGTTAAGCTCTCCCCGCTGAGTTTTGCAATTGGCCAATTTCTATTCATTAGCCGCATTCGCCACGCCACCCACTCACGCCAACTGCAACTCCGATAAGTGGCAGTTGCAAGCGCCGCACAGTGGTGCCAAAGTCCACGAAACCCACGAACACCATTTATCTTTCATCAGATATGATTATGAATTGGCTCAAAGAATGTATTCGTTCCATTATCATACTATATGAACTAATGTCTAATAATAATATAAGATTATGTGTTATCTTTTACAAGATGTGATGACATACATATGTAATATTATCATTAGTACTTTATATATATATACCTTTATATGCTCCAATGCACTTTAAAAATAGGTTTCTTCTTCTTCTCAGCCGAGTTGTCAAGTGAATTATCATTAAATTGTTTAACTCAACACAACGTCTTCCTGAATACACTATTACAATATATACATAGTTCTAATAATATTATTATACATTTTATTTTGAACTGTTAACTTGGATTTATTATTATTATTTTTTAGTATTATTCGCTGGCAAAATCCGATTTAATTTGAACCCTGCTTCAGCTATATTGCTCCACTGTGCTGATGTGATCAGATTGGCTGTGCCTGCCGCAGTGGCCACAGTCAACTCCTATTTCCACGTCAATTTTTAATCGGCTAACTTATTCAACTAACTAACTTAATCGTTGTTTTCACCCATTCCAGATATAGGCGAAGCGCCCACATCGCCAGCATGTGGAGCCCACAAAAAGGTCCTACACGGCTGTGGGACCTTAGACTTAGTAGCTGTATATTTATCTTACATTTAATGGTGAGTATAACTAACATATAATCTAACTTTAAATACGCGTCTTCCTTTTAAATGATCCTCAATCAGGGTGTTAAATGATTTACAGCATTCGTGTTGAAGCCAATACAAGTAAAACTAAATGCAAGCAAATAAAATGATGCCACAATGCATTCATAATATTCCCGTAGCGTTTTCTTGACAAATATTATACTACGACACTAAGTCTGGCATCTGGCATTAGAGGTACTCCCACTCAGAAAAGATCGCCAATCATCTGCACAAATGCAATTATTGTAGTTGAACATAGAGCCCTAAGTTTACAAGTATTTAGCTGAGAGGGTCTCAGTCGGCCTATTGCCGGGCAATCTTCCAGAATTTGCTCTGGAGTCTCGTCAGATTCAAGGTGGAATCGGCATAACGAGCAGATGGAAACATCTCTAATCCCATAAAGTATAAATATTCTTGATCAGCATGAAAAGCCGTATCAATCTACCCATGTCAATTTCTACATCTGTGTGGCCAAGTCGATCTCATATTTAGATATTTATTTGCATGCTATCGATAACTTATCGATTAAAATTGAATTTCGTTAGCAATAAAATCCACTATTACACAGATAAGTATTTTTTCCATTCAGACATTTACCTCGACATAGATATTGATCAACTGCACAAATTTCATCAAGATCGGCTAGAATGCAACCAAGTTGTTAAACTAAACGTTTTATCATATTGAATTTACATCAGGTTGAAATTGTTCCATTGACGTTTTAATTATTGCAATAAATAATTAAATGGCGTTTCCAATTTTCAAATTGAAACGACTTTCGTTTACGTGGGGGAACTGCTTTCTTCGTCTACGGATTAATCGGCGCAGTTTCGAGTAGACTATAAAATAAACCAGCCTACAGAACTATTTAGAAATGCCACAGAGTTGCCATATGTACATAAAAAGAAAATACTCTTAACATTATTGCCAGACAAAAACAAAAGAATTGAATTAAATGTAAAATCATAACTGACAACGGAGTTGGCAGATTATGTTCCCATTTGCATGCAAAGTAAATACAAACTAAATGGAAAAATGCATTTCACTTTCTTTGTACAATGTATAACTATATAATTTAGACTCGATATTAGAACACATGCAATAAGATAATATATAAATAATGCAATTGTCCCATCCGATTGGAGTTACTCCCTTGCTTAAAAGTGCTCACCAATTGGCTTGATTGTGAGCTCGTGTATCTGAACATTCGGAGGTGTCTGAATGCAGTAGCTGATCGCATCGGCGACATCCTCTGCGCGCAACATGGGCAATTGGCCAATCTTCTCGAGCAACGCTTTATCAATGATCTCGGTATCGACGGCACCGGGACTGATACTCTGTGTTCAAAAGAATGACAATGATAATCACATTGATAAAGTATATTTGTGTAGTCGAGAATTGTTGACTTGAATTTGGAAACTCCACTTACGGTTATCTTAATCTGTGTGCCTGCGTTGAGGAACTCTTGACGCAGCACCTCGGTCAGTGCGGTCAACGCATACTTCGACGGTGCATACATGTTCAGGCTCATCCCCGGTACGATGGGCACACCGTGTCCAGCAATGCTATTCACGATGACAACATGCCCATCGTTGATCTTGCGTCGCTGCATCGAGCAGGCGGCCTCCCTCGTGCACCAGGAGACGCCCAAGACATTGGTGTCGAGTACGGCACGCAGATCGGCGCTATTGCCCGGTGAGATGATGGTAGTTTGACGCGTAATGCCCGCATTGTTCACCAGGACATCGGCACCACCCAATTCCTTGTCGATCCATGCGAAAGTATCGATCACGTCCTGCTCCTTACTCACATCGCAGACACGGTAACGGAAACGCTTCGCCTGATCTGGCGGCAGTTGCTGACTCAGTTCCTTCAGTCGATCCTCACGGCGTGCCAGACCCACGACGACCATGCCTTTGGCAACCAGCTCCTTGCAGCAGGCAGCTCCAATGCCCGAACTGGCTCCGGTCACAGCAGCCACACGCTTTGTCCAGCGATCCATATTATTTTATTTTAGCTATTTTCCTTGTCTGCCTGTTGAGCTATCAACGGTTGAACTGAGCACAACTTTGTCGTGCCGGCATTTATATCATCGGTTGTTCGAGAATAATATATGTATATATTCTACATATTAAAACGAAATAATACCATAGTACATAATGAGTAGATATATAATGTCTATCTTCATGTCGACGTGCAGATGCCCTCTCAAAACGGCGTAATTTATTTAATATTTGACTCAGCAAGCGACGGATTTAACTTGCAATGCTGACACATTGTAGAACGAAATTGCTAATATATTATTGTATAGTTGAATAAATAAAGAGATATAATTACTTAATGAACCCGCACGATAACCTACTACTTCAAACTTAAAGTGGCCTATTTGCTAGGGTATACTTGATACATACTTAATACATACGTAATACATAGGCAACATTGAATTAAAAAGCGTCGCGTCATGCTGATAGCAATATTACCAACCAGGCAGATAGTATGTGATCTATGAGAGGGCTAACCTTGAGTCTCTCTCGAACATTCGTTGCCCATTTACTGTTTTCCTCTCTCTCTCCCTCTCTCTCTCTCTCTCTCGTTGTTTACCCAAAAATGGTTCTAACGATGATTGTTTGAAATTTGTCAAATTTGACCAAACAATCAAGTGCGAGAGAGAAACTTTCTGTTAACATTTACTTGTACATAATATGTATATTTTGGGCAACTATTTTATTTTCTTGATCTACAGTCTTAATTTATGTATTTGAACTCTGTTATTTTTGATAACCTGCTCAAAGTGAACCGTATTTAGTAAAGGTTTGCGGTAAAGATTATGAATTGGTTTCCAAATGTTTTATTTTTTTTCGGTATTTGGCACCGTTGTGGTACTTTATGGACTAATAGTATCGGTTCCGGTTACTGGTTCTTCAAAAAAACATTGAATTTATCTCTTTTTATACCTGGAACATATACTTATCTATGCTCGCAGACAAATTGTATAATTTAAGTTCTACATACACTAGGAGGCTAGGCTAGGCTAGGAAATCAATAAAATCGATAATCGCAAATCGATAAACCCATATCTCCCACACAATTTGAAAACTAGTTATGTGTATTACAAGTAACACTCTTCACAAACATTTTGGACCACACCTACACCTGCCCCCAATAACGATAAAAGTCCATATCTCTCGCAATTTGAGAGCTACAGTTATCAGTTTTAGATGGTATTACTTATGGGAATCAGAGTATTTCGCAGTCGGTTACGCCCGACTGTAAGGTTCTCTCCTCTTTTTCTTCTACCTTTGTTTCTCATCTTGCAAAATAGGTTGAAAATAATTATTCTATAAAAAATATCTACAAATTTGAGTTTAATTTGTGGCTCATTAAAAATGCGCTACACTAAAAAAAAAAAGAGCTCTCGTCGATTGAGCTCGATTTGGAGATACCCCGAACCCAGATAATATTATGCAAAGGTATATTTATACTTAATATAAACTGTGTATGGTATACGATAACTTATATTCCAAATTTGAAGCCTCTTGCTCCTATAGCCTTTGATATTTTAATATTAGGTAAGCTATACAAAATATTTCACCAGATTTCAGGGCTTAGCCTAGTCGTATAAGCCACTTACCTGTTTTGTTACACCATTTTGGCGTATGTCATAATTTTGTTATTGTTTTTGTTATCCATTAAAGAAAACGTATATATGTATACATTCTTGATCAGCATGAGTAATCAAGTCGATACTTGTTCCCATTTGTTGTCTTATAATGCGCAGAACTCTTTCAGCTTAAGATCTATCTTGAAGAAGCTAGATATTCGTCATTTTACTGAAGGCAATACATAGAGATCGGAGCTGACCAGATCGGACCACAGTCATGGGAACAATCGGTAGAAAAATGAGGCTTAAGTTGCATTCATTTATGTATATGCCTATCTTGATTCCACAACTTAAGTATATTTAAAGTTGCGATAGCCGTTGACATACATATCAATATAATTTCACAAGTGTGGAATATTTAGTAAACAACCAAATCTGAAACTGGTACGATAAGACAAATATTTATATAAAGCGAACATTATTTTTTTATTAAGCTCAAATTTATTGAATAAAACGAACAAAAATATAATTTAAACATTGATATTGATATTGAAATCCATAATTGTAGCTGCTGCACAGCAAAACAAATATTCTTGTTTATATCCAAATATCTTTGTATATATTGTGAGATATATTGTTGAGATTGGATCGGTTATTTTAATAAAATTTTGTTTTGCTTTTTCAAAACATGGAAAAATAAAATTCCAATAGAATTTGTAGATAACGATTTTGTTCAAGGTGAGTTGAGAGGTGTTTCCCTTTTTTTTTTTGCATACAAAATGATCAGATAATTGGTATGCAGAGGAACCGGAAATATTGGAATGGGAACTTACCAACAATTTGTGATATTAATGAATACATTATTAGATGACCGTGATTCGATTTCGCACTGTCTAGTTTAGTTAAGTATATTTATCTTACATTAATATCTAGCTAACACTAAATTGCCTGAATCTTAAATTAGAGTAAGTCCAATATCTTTATCGATAGTAAAGAAAAGACAATTGTATGCCCCATATTTGTGTTGCATTAAAATTGAATATGAATTGAATTTAAACAAGTTGCAGAGAGAGAGAGAGAGAGTCGCTTAATTAATATTATATTCTAAAACAATTACCTCATGAAGTGAAGTCTTTAATTTAACCTGTCGGGTTTTTCTTTGTATATAGATACAAAAATATTGTATTTTGCATACGGGTTTTTGTACATTTCAAATATTTTTCATTTATCGTATTCACTATCTTGTTTCTTACTTAATCGCCAGTTGTTTTGTCAGATATTGAGATAAGAAATTTATGTCGAGCTTAGATAAAACTCATAATTACTTGACAGTAACAAAACCTGCAGCTTGTTTGGTTTATACACTTTCTTTGTATAGAGTATAAACATTATGTTGACTCTATTTTTCATGCTCACTAGTGCTGCACAGTGTAGATACAGTGTTGAAGAGTGTAGTTGTTGCAGACAATTTGGCACCGCCGTTTGGTCAATTGCTGCTCAGCTGTCGCTCAAGGCATGGAGGGAGAAAGAGAGGGGGGCAACTAATAATAAAAGGGGGAAAGGATTGTTTTGGTTGCTTTGCTGGTTGGGGAGCAACTTTTACTGCAAGTGCAACAAGAAATTCCATTTGCAATTTGGTTGCACAGATTTTTTTCTTACTCTTTTTGGCCAGTTTAATTAAAGCCAAGCCAAGATGAACTTGGAATCCGGCTCGGTGTGGCAAGGCAGGCTCTGGGGCAAGTATGCAAATGCCAGCCAGCAGCCAGCAGCCAGATTTAGCTTAGACGAGTTGTTCCCTGCCTCACTTGCCCCTGCCCCCCCCCCCCCCGCCCTTTCCCCCGCACGTGACTGGACTGCTGGAATTTGCTTTCTCGTTTGTGCTGCCAAATGTTGAAAGCTTTGGCTCGGCTGCATTTCGTTTTTATTGGTAACATGTTTGGCGGGGCCAACAAAACAACAAAACAAGTGCAATTAAAAAGAAAAACAACAACAAAAAGATGAGAAAAAAAAAATAGAATAAATAAATGGCAGAGGCAGTCGTCAAGGCCGTCGCTGTGGCAACCCTTATTAAAAGAAGTGCCATGGCAACTGGCCGAATAATTTAATGCAAGCAACTCAACTGAGGAAACAAGCAACCCAACTGCAAAACTGTTGCTGATGCTGATAGAGATGGAGATGGAGATGGTGTTGCCAAACCATTCCAGTTCCGATGGCAGCTTGCCCGATGCTGTTGCAGTTGCAGCTGCAGCAGGTGTCAAGTTAGCCAGTGGGAATCGCGTTAATTAGAAATTATAACGGTCTACATATCGTTGTCAGCTGCATCAGTTAAGATCTAGAAATGTGCTGTGTTCGCTGCGTACTTTCTCAAAACTACATTAAGAAAAGTCAATTAAATGTTGAGAAATGCTAGCAGTTATTTAAAGTCTAGCATAAATTCTCTCACACACACAAAGTCAGACAAAATTGCCAACGAAATTCCCCAAGCAGTTTTCTCACTGTTGAAACTTGATGTTAGACTTAACAAGTGCTGCATAACTGCTTAGAGATATTTCTGGTGTCGATCACTGATTCAAATGGTTTGCTACCTATTTGAAGACTCCTTAAGACCCCTTAGCCATATCTTTTCATTATTTATGTCATCGTTATTACTATAAATTATATTTATTTTTATGTTTTACTTTACAGTTTAGTTTAGTCATAGCTGGTAATGAACTGTGGCCCATGGATCGGCCAGATGGTATGCCAAACATAGTTTCACTTGAGGTCATGTGCGGTAAGGATCACATGGATGTCCATTTGACCTTCTCCCATCCCTTCGAAGGCATTGTTAGCTCCAAAGGTGCGTATAAATCACACACAGTACACAGTTTATTCGATCGATTGCCACTAACACTAAACACGAATCTGTTGACAGGACAACACAGTGATCCCCGTTGCGTTTATGTGCCACCATCGACGGGCAAGACGTTCTTCTCGTTCCGCATCTCTTACTCCCGATGCGGCACCAAACCGGATCTCAATGGCCAGTTCTACGAGAATACGGTAAGTGGAACATGTCTGATTCTGATTCTGATTGGGTTTCTATGTTTCTTTGTATAACTGTGAAATAATTGTATAGAATAATGAAATATAAACAGTGATCAGTGATCAGTATTCCAAAGCGCAAATTAGGATTAGACCTTAAGCTTAAAGTGTAAAACGATTGTTGATGGTACTAAATGAAGCCCACAAAGAGAGTGATCAACATGCAAGATATCTAACTGAAGCAACTGAATGCTCGATGTTATCTTTAAGTATCCCAAAATAGTTCGTACGATTAAACATTAATCGGAACTGCAAAACGATTGCAAGCCTCTTTCAATAAACAGTTCGCTTAAGGAGCGATTATTCTCAGTGTTCCCAAGTACTTAAGGTCAAATTACTTTAAATACAACTACAATTAAATACTCAAATAATGCTGCGATCAGTGATCAGAAAAGGGAGTCCCCCTTTATATAAAATACCCATACATGGAAAACTCAAACAGATTGAATTGAATTGAACATAACTGATTACTGATTACTGATAACCGATCACTGGTAACTGATTAGCGATCACTGATTGCTGATCACTGATTACTGATTATTGATCACTGATCACTGATCACTGATTACTGATTACTGATTGCTGATTGCTGATCACCGATCACTGATAACTGATCACTGGTAACTGATCACTGGTAACTGATCACTGGTAACTGATCACTGATTACCGATAACCGATCACTAATAACTGATTACCGATCACTGGTAACTGATTACCGATCACTGATTATTGATCACCGATTAATAATCAGTGATCAGTTTCCCACGTCGCATTGTTCACCTTGTGCATGCATTCACCTGCTCGAGGCTTTTGCCACTTGGGCCATTTACTTAACCCGCTAAACCACTAAGCCGATAAGCCGCTAACCGCTTAATGCCTGTTTTGCTTTTTATCTTTGGTTTTACTTTGTGACCGCAGGTAGTCGTGCAGTACGACAAGGATCTGCTGGAGGTCTGGGACGAGGCGAAACGTTTGCGCTGCGAATGGTTCAACGACTATGAGAAGACCGCCTCCAAGCCTCCGATGGTAATTGCCGATTTGGATGTTATACAGCTTGACTTTCGCGGTAAGTAAGCCATGCAAAGGTGAACCATTCACGGTTCACGGTTCACGGTTCTGATATAGCCAGAGCCCTTACTATGCACACCACTCCAAGAAAGAAAAGAAAAGAAGATAAAAGGGTATCCTAAAGTTGCGCAAATGCTGGTCACATTCAAGTAATAAGAAATTTGAACAGACAGCTTACTTAGAATGTAGCACATCCTTTATCCAGTAATCAGGATTGCATTTCAAAACCAGAATCGAAATTCAATATTTCTTTGTTTGTAAGAAGCAACCAAAAATAACACTGAGAAAACTTTCATACCTTGCTGCATAGATCTAAGCTGTAGCCAAATGTGTATGCGATTAGAATTCGCAGGGTATCTGCCAGTCGAGCAGAACACATCAACTAGGGCACTCAATTACATAGCTGACCTCAAAATTAACTTTCTTCTCTGTGGCTCTCTTCCCTTTTTGCTTGTGTGTGTGGCACAGGCGATAATGTTGATTGCTGGATGGAGATACAACATGGCAAGGGACCGTGGGCGCCGCCAGTGAGTGGCATTGTGCCACTGGGATCCACGCTGACGCTTGTCGTCGCCATCAATGACTATCGCGGTGAGTGTCATCCATCGAAATGAAATTTACACATATTTTTTTCAAAATCCAACTTGATTTTGTCCATTCGATTCCACAGGTGAATTTGATATGCGGGTAAAGTCTTGTGCCGCATCTGATGGTTCCGGACATGTGATCAATTTGTCAGATGAATTTGGTTGTGTGCTGCGACCCAAGATGATATCCCGTTTCCTGAAGGCCCGTGCGCCCGATGAGCGCGCCACGGTGATAACATACGCCTTCTTCCACGCCTTCAAGTTCCCGGATGCGCTCAGTGTGCACATCAAGTGCAAGGTGGAGATATGTCGTCATGGCTGTCTCGATCACTGCCAGAACTCGGCGCCTGTCGGCGGTGGCGGCGGCGGCGGCGGCGGCGGTGATGCCTTGGCTCATGGCGTTGGCAATGCGCATGAGCGCAAAGATGTTCACATTGCCGATGTGATGGGCAGCAGCAGCAGCAACAACAATGAGCTGCACAGAGATCTGGACATGCAGCCGGGCTCAATGGGACACGGCTCCCAATCGTTGCAACACGGCTTGGGCGGATTGGGTGGACTGGGTGGATTGGGTGGCATTGGCAGCATCGGCAATATGGGTGGCATGGATCATGACATCTTCTACGAGGACATTATCCACGATCACAAGCAGACAATGGGCGGCCCAGCTGCCAGCGATCTGTATGAGGAGAAGAGCGGCAATTTGCAGCCGCGACCCGTGCACGAGGATCTCGATGAGGAGGCCGATCTATCCGATCTCTTTGGTGACGATGATATGGGCGACATGGATGGCGAAGGTGAACGCTATCTTGGCCTGAAGAAGAGCGGCAAATTTCCGCATGGCCCCCGCCAACTCGAAGCACAAAAGCGAATGGGCGTACCAATGGCCGGACCACGCTCCCTGGAACCCAGATCGGATGATGTGCCGCGACCCGTTTACCGGCCACAAGCGGAGGCATTGAAAAAATCACGCGAAGATCACATCGATCTCGATGAGCCAACGGCAAACAGTTCGAAAGAGTCGACTGCAACGCGGGACAGCAGCAATGGCAGCAATGGCAGCAGTGGGAACAGTCGACGTCGTCGTCGCTCCTTGGTTATCTCGGATCGAAAGGTGCGCAGCGCCGATGTCGGCGTTAGCGGTCTATACGATGTCATTTCCGAGGCGGATTTGGCCTTCTCGCCGGATGTCAAACAGGAGGCGGTCACCGTTTTTCAGGGCAAGATCAGTGAGGAGGTCGTCTATGGCATCTGTATGCCGGTGCCCGGTTTTAGTATACTCTTCATTGTTGTAATTTCGGCGACAATTGTCTCAGCGTTAATTGCCGGCTCGCTGCTATATCGCTATCAGCTGCAGAAGGAGGCGCTCGAGAAGCAGACACCGATGCCGGTGCCCGGCACCCTTGCCTCCTGGATGACGTTGCGGCTCTTTCGCATGCGACATCTACAACAACAACAGCAGCAGCAACAACAGCAACAGCAGCAACAACAGCAGCAGCAACAACAACAGCAGCAGCAGCAGCAACAGCAGCAGCGACAACAGCAACAGGTGCCCAGCGCTGCTGCTGGCCATGAAACGGTGCAGTGAGAAATGGCTCTGACTTCCCGCCCCTAATCTATTCCCCTCGTATCTATATACCCAAAACTATCTAATGTACCGCTGCAAACATTATTAATTTATATACTTCTTATTTTTATTTTTATTTATTTATTTTATTTTATTTATTATTTTTTGTTTGAATAACAAAAAGAATATCGAACTGACTGACAGGTTTTAAGCCTGCGCCTTTTTCCAATTCGTTACAAAACTCGGCACAAGTAGAAGAAACAGCACAAGAGAAGTAGTCACAAGCAGAGAGACAGACAGAGAGCGAGAGAGAGAGAAAGGGAGAGAGAGAGAGAGAGAGCGAAAGGAACGAAATAGAATGGAACATGCATGTGCTCTCGTTAGTTAGCCACAAACTGGAATGGAACACCGAATGGTTAGTTAGTTGGCAACAAATTGAGTTGAGGAACATTATGGAATGGAACACGGAATTGTTAGTTTCTCCTTCATTCGTCAGTTAGCTACAGCGGGTATTGAATGGAACATGCCTTTCTATCACATTCACATTCGCAGATGGAACAAAAACATATTTAAATCGAATCGAATAAAACATAGATGGAATGGAACACGCATGTTTTCATTCGTTAGCTTCTTCTTTTTTTTTTTTTTTTTTTTTGTTATATACTCGTTAGTTTTTGCTCTCGTCAGCTGAAAACGGGCAACATGGCAATACCGGAAGGCCATCCATTAAAGAGAGGTATAGAGAGAGAGATAGAAAGAGAGAGAGAGAGATAGAGAGAGAGAAAGAGAGAGATGCATTCGATGTCCCGATCTTCACACACACATTACTTTTGTCTTACTGGTGCTGCACAATATTTATTATATTTATGTTGAATTTTTTTTTTTTAATTTTTTGGGTGCATTTAGTCGTTAAATTTGCAAAAAAAAAAAGAAAGAAAGGAAAAAAAAGGAAGAAAACAACCCAATATCGAAAAATACAAATAGCAATATCGTATGCCCGATATAATCGTACTTACTTCTTGAATAGAAATCGACGCACATGACTAACGTTAGGGGACACTTATTTATTGATTTACTTAGTACTCGATAAGCACCTATCATAAGCAGCACAAACTATCAAACAAACAGCAACAATTTTCAAGAATCTGAATCGGAATCGGAATCGAAATCGAAAATATTCGAAAAGTATTGAAATTATAACTCATCAAGTCATTGGAATGCAGCGTTTAGCAAATTTTAGTTAAAATTCATCACTTTTTATACATCTTAATTCATATAGATCAGCCATAAGGCATATATGTATATCTATATATATCTATATATTTAGATATATATGTATATGTATTTTTGGCATATTTCGTTTGTTTCAAATTAAGTTCCCATATCTCTGATCTATGTGAATTTAGACTTATGTATTCATGACTTATTTAAACATCTAGTAAATTATTATTAGAGCAATGGAATGGACAAAAAAAACAAAAACAAAAACACAAAACATACAACATAAAACATACAACATAAAACATACCACATACAACAAATGCAAATCGGTTGTCAAGGCCAAATAATTTATACAATTCTTATTTAATTACCTTTTTTTTAATAAATACTCGTAAAGCTAAACAATATAAACAAACACTGAAAATTGTAATGAACTAAATGCAAAAACAAAATAAATACTTAAAATTAAGATTAAATATACTACAATAATTATATATTGGGATGCGTCTTTTATTTTGCCACTAAATGGAAAATCTCTAATCTGTTTTGGGGCAAATCTATAACTCTTATACATATATATATATATATATATATATGTATATGCATCTGAGCACATTTAATTTTGAGAAGAGCGCTGTGGATTTGATTTTGATATTGAATATCAAATTTGTACTGCATACATTTAGGCATAATCGACTTTGATCAATTATTTGGATACTTAAAAATAGTTGAATCATTTTTGGAAATTTCTTATAGATCTATCTTGTATATATATTTAAATTTCGGAGATATTGGCATGCTCAGCTGGAGTTTTCAATCAAAGATGTAAATCTTCTCTGAAAATTTGCATAAAAATTAATGAATAAAAAACACTCATTTTTTATTATTGTCGTTTATTGGTTTTGCTCATACAAACATACAATGTTGCATTTGTATAAATCGTACATTTCGTAAATAAGTAAATAGATAATTTGATATATAGATTATGTAAGAAAGTAATCGGTACACTCGCATTTGTTTTCTGAACCTAAACAATTCGATTAAACAACTTTTCCAATATGTGATATTATTAACGATTTATTGAACACGTTATTAGCTTAATTTCCGCCTCTCTCTCTTTCTTGCAGGAATTACAATAGTAATAATAATATTAATAAAAAAAAAAAAACAAAAAAAAAGCAAATACTCATAATAAACAAATTGGGGCTTGTTGGGGATTGTACTAGTTGGTAAAAATAAATAAATAAATAAGAGTATAAATTAGATACGCTCCATGTGAGACAACAATTAAAAATTAACAAGATGCAACAAGGATCAGAAGGATCTATGGATCAAAGAATCGATTCGAATCCGGAGCTTAGACTAAGTTTAAAGCACTTAAAATATTTAGTGACTAATTGAAATATACACACGCATATCTAATGCGTGCATATAAGTATAAATATCTGGTAAGTATTAGTGTAAGGACAGTCTAAGAAGAGTCTAAAACGTTAGTGTGCATTTTCCCATGTTCCCGTCAAAAAGTTAACTGAACGTTTACCAATTCTCAGTCACTGTTAAATTGTTCAATTTGACAATTTTACTAGAATTGCTTGCGTTGCCAGCTTGTCGTTAAAGTCCTGTTCTGATCTCCTTCAGTACAATGTGAAAATGCGCCTTGAGCGTGAGAAAGACAGAGGCAGAGATAGTCGCATGAATGGGATAGAATTGACAGCGTTGCCAGATTGGCCAAAGTATTATTTTGTAATCTGTAAACATTGGGCTTAGCACCGATTTTAAGTAGAACCTCGACTTAAACTAAAGCATGATTTATATGGATTTCATTTATTTTCTTATTATTTTTTTTCTTTTTTTTTTGTTGTTTTTTTTTTTTGATAATAAAGACTACCACCAGGTGACGAAGAGAAAGACAGATGAAAGAGATGGGTTGAATAGCTTATAGAAAGAGAAGAAAAATCCAATCGAACTTCTACACTATAGTTGGGAATTGGCTTAGATACGGATAGGGATTGTGAGAGGAGAACCCAGTAAAACGGCATGAACTACATAATTATAGATAGATCTGTGACAAAAATTAAACTAATGAATAGCAATTAGCAATTAGCAGACGAATTCAAACTGAGGGGCAGACATCCTGAATGGATGGCTGGAGTGGATGGAGTAGCTGGAGTGGCTGAAGTGGATGTTCGGGATGGATCATTAAAACTGTTGACGCTCATGAGAGCGCCCGCTTCTTGGAGAGCGTGCCCGGCAGCGCATCCACCGGCGATGGCAAATGGATGACGGGCAGAGCGCCAGCCGCCAGCTGTGGATTCGTAAAGGCGACGGCTCGCTCCTTGGCGGCAAAACTGGAGAAGGGCCGCAGTCGGACATAGAGCACTGCCGAGATCAGACACGAGGTGACTAATATGCCCAACAGCACAATCAACGTAATGGCAAAACCGGGCGTTGTCATACAAATCAAACCCTCCTCCCTCACCGGGAATACCATGGTCTGTGGCAATGTGTTGCCGGCATTAACGGCGGAACCATTACCATTGCCCGCCTGCTCATCGATGGCAAAGGTCAGATCACCGGAGGAGACAACCTTAATGATGCGATTCAGGCCCACTTGCTCCGTTGGCGTTGCAACAGCTCGAGCACGACGCTGCACCCGACGCTCATCGCGACGCTTACCAATTGCACTGGCCACATGATAGGCATCCACATGGAGCTGTGGCGGTGGTCCATACTGCGATTCGGGTCCCACTTGCAAATGGTGGACATCCTGAAGGTTTGTTTCGGCACTGCACTGATCCGGGCAATGGTAGCGGCAGATTTGTATGGTGCACTGAAAGTGTACCTCCATCGAATCGGGAAACTTGAACGCCTGGAAGTGGGCATACGACAGCACCGATGCAGACGCCCCAAAGTTCTTGATTTTGGTGAAGCGGGACATCAGTTTGGGTCGTGTCACGCAGCCGCGTTGATCGACCAGCTGGATGGGTGCACGTTTGCCATCGTGAGCGACACAGTTGCGCACAAGCATATCGAATTTGGAGTCATCATCCTTGATTGCCAGCACCATTGTCATTGTCTGACCGATCTTCACCAGCCCAGAGACTTCCGATGCCCAGGGACCTTTGCCCACCTGGATTTGCATCCAGCAACCGACATTGTCGCCAGCAAAATCGGCCCGTACCACATCCAGCATGTCAACGGGGAAGGGTCGAAATGTGACACTCTTCTCGTACTGATCATGCCACGTGCAACGTAGCTTGCGCGCCTGATCCCACACCTCCTGCACCTGCGGATCGTACTGGATGACAATGATGTTCTCGAAATAGGTACCGGCACCAGCAGCACTACCGGCCGCCTCATGGCCATAGCCCTGATTGTAGTTATCCGTATTGCCAGCGGTGCCGCACTCATGCAAACCAATATCGAAGCTGGCAGAGCTGCGACCCAATCCGGATGGCAGATGCACACAGTTCATGTTGCTGTAGTGTCCCTTGGAGAAGACGATGCCGTTAAACGGTTTATCAAACTGAACGAACACCTTCATGCCGTTCTTCTCGCACTTCACATCCAGCGACACAATCTTGGGCATATCCTGGACGGGTGATGCCCAAATCTCATTGTTGCTCGACGCACCCACGCTCAGATCGGGCAGCGATTGCACCTGCACCTGCTGCACCTGCGATGCCAGCGATGGCCCCTGTACGAGTGGTCCTCGCTGTGGCACTGGCGGCGGTGGTCCCTTATAAAATTGTGCACCTGGCGGTGGTGGTGGTCCAAACGGCTGGCCAAAGCTCATCGGTATATTCTGATGGTTGCTGCCTGTGGATAGACAACAATAGACAACAGACGACAAGTGAGTGGGTGGTGCAAACTGGGTGAACTCTGTTCACATTGAATGTAAACAGTTGTGATTCTAATTAATGGAAAAAAAAGAAAAAAAAACGCGCTTTGCATTTCTTAATTTCAGGCCACATTTTTCAAAATTCGAATATTTATAAATTCTTATTAGTTTTTTTTTGTTATTTATGTTATTACAAACTAGATTTCACATATACGAAAACATTTTAAAGAGCTTATACTTAATTGTAAAAATAGATAATCTGATAAATATAAGTAAAGTAAATTTCATTACTTTCAGTACTTTTCACAACTATTTCTCGAAATAATTTCGAAAAACAAGAAAAACTTTCTAATTTTTAAGGTGATTTTCTAAATTTTAGGTCAATTTCTTTTTCTGAGTGTACTTGTTTGTGGCAACTTGTACAAAATGAGTATATTTATAATTACTTGAGAATTGTTGTTGGGGATTTTACTTACTTCTAGCGGGTCCAAGGCCTAAACTCAGACCGGGTGGTGCCTGTGGTGGACCATTGTGATGATAATGCACCTGAATCTTGGGCCCAGATTGTTGCTGTTGTTGTTGTTGCTGTTGTTGTTGCTGCTGCTGCTGCTGCTGCTGTTGTTGCTGTTGTTGCTGCTGCTGCTGTTGTTGTTGCTGTTCCTGCTCCGATTCGAGTGCCATTTGATCCACCTCATTGTCTTGATCGCTAAGCCCCATTGCGAGCTCATCATTGCCACCGTTGCCAGCGATTGCCTTCACCACCTCAACATCATCCGCCCGGATCAAGACGAGCTGCCAAAGGAGAGACACACAAGTAAAACAAATAGGTCAGAAAAGAAGAGCTTGCATTAATGAGGTGCCACAAATACTGATGCACACGGGCACACTGAGAGAGAGTGAGGGAGAGAGAGGGAGAGAGTGAGAGAGAGAGAGAGAAGGGGAGAGGGAAACATGGCAAGAATCTCAAGTAAGTACAATGGGAGCAAAGCGACATGTCGCATGCCAATTGCCAATTGGCCAACTGGCGAATGGCGGATGCGACTTGTGATTCAATTGCATAAGGCAAAGAAAATGAAGAAATGAAACAACAGCAACAACAACAACAACAATAACAATGACAACACACACAGACACACAAAAGAGACAAGAAGCACACAGCTAACTGTAACAAATTTCACTTTTTTTGTTGTTTCTCTCTGTTACCATCTGAAGTGACCCAATTGGCCAAGAAGATCCGCCTTTTTGTCGAACGATGTCAAGGCTAGAAATCAAAGAGGGAATCCACAAAGAGAGAGATAGACAGACAGACTGTGAGCGAGAGAGAGAGAGAGAGAGAGCGAGAGAGAGAGAGAGCACTGCAGAGAGATAGCCGGTTAAGCAGCTAGACTGACAATTGAATTAATTACTTAGCTACTTAATTTAGTAGCTCAATCGATTAACTCAATTTACACATTTCACAATATATTAAAGCCTTCTTCGATGTGCATTCTTCAGATGCGTATATTAATATAGATATAAAACTTAATGCTGTTAAGCGCTTAGAAGCTTAACAATATATTTAACTGATTGATACCAAAAGCTTGTCAGTGAACATAGCTAATACTATATAAACATATATATATATATTTATTTATATATTCCCAATGGAATCGATGCACATTTGTGCAACAGATACCCATTTATCCATATCCATATCCATATTTAAGAGCTGCTAACTATAATCAATATACATTTCTATCGATTCAGATCAAAATTGGATTAAGCTGGCAATTACTGTATTTCATATTATTGGATAAGGCGGTTAAGATTTGAAGATCAGTTTGAAAACATGTATATATATACATATATCTACTTAATACATTACGGATTAGCATTTAGAGACGACATTTTAGTTAGCTGAGGAAGAAGAATTACAAATACATATATATATACATAACTGAACAGAATTTTCTGAACTGAACTGAATTAAGGACTTCTGAGAATTTAGAAAACTACATTGTTTAAAAAGAAAAATGCTGAATAATTTCATCATTTTTGTTTGTTTTTTTTTCTATATTTTTTTATATAGTTTCTTCAAGTAGTTATATAAAAAATAAGCTGTCAAATCGAATCGTATTTTGACTCTGGCAAGCTGTTGAATTAGTTGCAATTAACTTGTCGGTTTGCGGTTCCGCATTGGAACACTATATGAACTCATCATATTAGTTGCGGTTCCGACTTTCAAGCGGTGCTGTTGCAGTTCCGGCTCCGATTTGACACATTGGTCGGGTGTGTAATAAGTATGGGAATAACAGCAAATGTGATCAAATAGAAATTCGCAAATTGGGCTTGAAAATGTTTGTGGCTCAAGAGAAAAGAGAAGTGAAGAGGAGTCCATTGAACATTTTTGGCAGACAGTCGTCGTCTGTTGTCTGTTGTCTGTTGTCTGTCGCATCTGGCCAGCTGGCCCAGACCCAAAGTATTTTTGTCTTTGGACCAGAAACTGTGCCGCTGGCCCAAAACAACTTTCTCCCCGGCAACTTTCGGCATATTGGGGCGCCTCAATGGGGAGATGTCACATAATCAGCGCGACGTGGTACGCGACGGTGGCATCCTGCCCGCCAAATCCTGTTTAAGGTAGAAAGTGATGTGATGCCCAGGCGACAGAAGCACACACACACATACACACACACACACACACACACACATACACATACGCATAAGCAGCCAGCAGATAAATTGGCAAACAAGTTTCGAACACCAAATTCTAAAAATACGTTCAAAAATTAAAAAGAAAGAAACAAAAACAAAAACAAAAACAAAAAAGAGTTTTGCATGCTAAGTGCGGAATCGGAGACGTGATTTGGAGCAGCCCATGGGCGACGACAAGCATGAATAATACCAAGGAGGCTGGATGGGTGGGCGGGGAAAGTGGAAGGAGAGGGGAGCTTTGCAGTTGCTCTACGGCTTTGGTTTCATTTCGATTTTTAGATTTTTGATGCGCGTGATCCGGTTCCGCAATGCGATAGAACTGCCAATGTGAGCACAACGGCGAAAGGGGCAGGCAAAGGGGTTGTCGTGGGGGCGGTGGAGGGGGCCAGGGGGGGATGGGCGCTTGACCAAGCAGAAGGCTAGACTCCTTGCGTTAATAGAAATGTATGCAAACGGTTTCCATTTTGGCGACGGTGCAATGGGCTTGACAAAGTCGTGAGTTTGTTGCGGCTGCTTGTTGCTTGTGGCTTGTTGCTTGTTGCTTGTTGCAGCAGCTGCTAATGCGACAACTAATGATGCGGCTTCAGTCACAGCCGGAGCTGAAGACGGAACCAAACACAAAGCCAAAGCCACAGCAAAAAGCTGCTGCTGCTGCTGCTGTTGCTGCTGCTGCTGCTGCTGCTGCTGCTACTGCTGCTGCCAATGCCAATGCCAATGCCGGCTGTTTATTGCTGTTTATTGCTGTGGCTGCTGTTAATCTTGACCTCGACCAATATGCTCAAAATGTCGAAAGATGCTGCTGTCTGGTGCCCAGTTGGGCGGAGGAGTTTTGGAGGGAGACAAGGAGGGAGCTGTTGTCTCCCTGTCTGGCTGCCGCGAGAGAAAGTACATGTGGCAAAGCCAAAGAAGCGCTCCTCTCCCTGTCCAGAGAATGCGCCCAAAAAAAAAAACCTGAAACCAACGAATCTGCCCGAAGACGGTTCAAAGTTGAACCCAAGCGAGGCTGGGAAAAATGCAACAATATCACCAACAAAAAAAAAGGAAGAGTTTTTTGTGTGTCTTTCTTTTGTTGTTGTTGTGTTTTTTTTTTTTTTTGTAAGCTGTTCGTCGTGCAGCCAAGGAAAGGGAAATCATCTTTTAAATTGTGTCATAGCCGAGCAACGGACCAAAAGGAGGACGAACCCAAGATCAGCAGACAAGCTGAGCGGGACTGACAGGCAAGCTGACTTTCTATATAGAAACAGCACCTCTGCAAGATGTATCTATTTGTTTTTATCGCACATATATCGCAAAATATAAATATATATATAAATCATCATAGTAGATAGTCTGAAAATGAAGTATTCGTCAAAGGTGAACTATATTTCAATATATAGCAGAATCTTTTCTTACAGAAATCATAATTTATCATTCATATTCACATCCTATACAAAACATAGATATTTTTCTTTCTTCTTTTCTAAAAGCAATTTTTTTTTAAATATAAATCGAATTTAAATGAAAAATATGAAGAATATTTCCAATGGCATTGTGAATTAGAAAAACATCCGGAACTCTATTCTTTTTAATAGTAATCTAACTTATGAAAATAAGAGTTGGAAATGATCAAAACTTCACGAAGACTGATAATGGTCTTTAATCTATATATAGATATATATATATATATATCAAAATGAAGCTCTTCAATCTATAAGCCATAAAACGAAAGCTGCTGTTTTTAATTTTGTTTCTTTTTTAGCTTGGGATTAGCATCGTATATCATATTTATGTTGTACTTCTTAAGACTATCAATGTGGGAGATTAAAGACATGGATAAGCCGTATGGCATTAGCCCGCTTTGAAAGCTACTTAAGTGGGCGCTATTAAACGAAAGCTCTTTCACTTCACACGCACACACACAGGCAGACACACAGACAGACATATAAACACACTCGCATGCAGCTTATCGATAATTATCGATAACTTGCTGAATTGCCAATTATGTCTATGCACGTTTTTGCATTAGCTTTAATTGATTTCAATTACGTGTGTGTGAAAGATGAAAGACTTTTTGTTGCTGTTGCGGTTGCTGTTGTTGTTATTGTTATTATTGTTGTTGTTATTGTTATTGTTATTGCTATTGTTATTGTTATTGCTCACCTGCAGTGAAAGGAAAATGATAAGCGGCAGACAAATCTTTTTGATCCCCAGACTCTGTCGACACAAATTTTGGCAACGCATTTGTTTTTGTTGTTTAATGTTTTTTGGCATCTCGTGTTGTTGTTGTTGCTGTTGTTGCGGCTGCAGCTGCTGTTGTTGTTGTTGCTGTTGTTGTTGCTGTGAGTGTTGCTGTTGTCGTTGCATATTGCTAGCGGGGCAGCTTGTTTGTTGCTGTTGCTGTTGCTGTTGTTGTTGCTTGTTGCTTGTTTGTGTCTGTTGTTGTCAATGTGCATAAATTGCAATTAATACGTTTTATTTGTTGTCATGTGCACGCTGTTGTTGTTGTTGTTGTTGTTGTTGCTGTTGTTGGTGTTGTTGCCTGCAATATATTGTTGTTGGAAAGCAATTGTCATGAAAAGCGGCAAGTCAAAGAAGAAGAAGTAGAAGAAGTAATAATAGCAGCAGCAGCAGCAACAGCAGCAGCAACAGCAACAGTTGTTGAAACACTAGAAAGTGTTTACTTTGTGGCTTTTTAACAAGTTGTTGCTGTTGCAGTTGTTGTTGCTGTTGCTGTTGCTGTTGTGGCTGTTGCTGTTAGTATTATTATTTGTTAAGCCCGTTTTCGCTTTCAAGTGTGTATTTATATGTTTGTGTTTGTGTTTGTGTCAGTTAATTATAATTTATTGGCATTAGTGTTGCACTTAAATTTGCGCCATTGACTGATTGACTTGATTGATTTGACATTTATTCATGCATTCAATGTGTGGCTAACAATACAATTGAATACCTCAGTACTCGCCAGCTGCCACGCCCCAAAAATTGGACAACACCAAATTGAAAGCAAGAAGATAACAAAAAAAAATGAAAGAGAGAAAAAAAACCCACAAGTGACAGGCTGACAGAAGAAGAAGAAGATGGCAAAGAGGCAAGCAGCGGCAAGCAGCGGTAAGAGGCAAGCAGCAGCAGCAGCAGCGGCGGCGACTTTTTTTTTTAATGACAACTTATTCACCTGTACAGGTGGTACTCGCGGGGCAGTTGGCGGAGAGGTGAAATGTGTTAATAATGTGTTCCATCAGCCAAGTGGGTCAACGTCAACAGGCCCAAGACAAACACGAGTCGAGCAATTAGAAAACTCACCAACTGACTGACAAACGCCAAGATTCAAGATTCAAGACTCAACATCGAAGACTGGCCACTTTCAGAGTACAACCAGCTGAGACAGACACAGTTAGAGAGAGAGAGAGAGAGAGAGAGAGAGAGAGAGACAGAGATAGAGATATTCTTGGAAGGATTTGTTTGAATGTTTTTGAAAACGGAAAAAAGAGAAAAATTCCAGTTTGAAAATTAGTTTGATTTTCATTCAATATTTGTATGACTTTTACTAATATCAAACAAGTAATTTTAAATTTAAAATCTGCCAATTTGGTGCTCTTTAGTTTTATTTATTATTTTTTAAAATATATATCAAATAAAGCTGACTTTGTCTTTTCTAGTATATTATTATTTATTTACTTTGTTTGATCGGAATATTAAATACTCGAAATCAATATTGTTCTATCGTAATTAAACTAGCTCTAATTTGTGCCCCATTTCAATCATTAACCGAATTGATATAGTGCCTGAAAGTAGCCTTGAATAATAAGAGAAGTTGCCAAGTAATAATTACAAAAGGGCATCTCCAAATTCTGATTGCAGATAAGTTATTATCTCAGATAAGTTATTATATTAATAGTGAATAGTATTCACACCGATGATAATCGATGAATGGCGTTAGACTATATGAGTATAGAGAGAAGCACTCGATAACATATTCAAGGGCTTCGAAATTGACTTAATTGTTTCAGTTGCCAGTCTTGGAGCAGCCAATTGAGTTGCAGTTTGAGCCACACTTGTGCTACTAGTAACACTAACCTTCGCTTTGGACCAATTCCAGAGAGTGCCGCAATTCCAATTTTGATGCAATGCCGAACGAGCAACAGGATGTGCTCGATGCGACTTTCGAAAGCAGTTGTTATTTGTTACTGTTGTTGTTGTTGTTGGCGGCTAGTTGCTGCTTGCTGCTTGCTGGTTGCTGGTTGTTGGTTGTTGCTTGCCGCTTGTTGTTGCTGTTACTGTTGTTGTTGTTGTTGTTGGCTGTTTAGTTTGTTTGTGTGCTGTTGACAATGGTACCGCTCGGCAGCTGCTAATTGCCACTGTTTGAAGTTCGAGTTGCACGCGGGCAATTAATGACGATCCAGCAGAAGAGGCACAAACAAAAAAAAAAAAAAACAAAAAAAAAAACAAAACAAAACAATACGAAAAAAATAACAAAAATACCAACGAAATGTCAACAACAAAAAATTGATATATATATATATATATAGACAAGAGTGCAGGAGAAATGTGTGCAACAAGGACACGCGCGTCTTTAAAAACACACACACACAAAGCACACACACATGCAACAACAGTGTTTGTTTTCGGGTTTTGTTTTTTTGTTTTGTTGTGTTTTTATTTATACAAAAAAAAAATTGCACAAATTTTTTAAAAATATTTTTTTTTGTTTTATTATTTTTTGATGCGTTTGTTTTTTTTTTTTTTTTGTTTTTTTTTTTTTGGTTTTCGGTTTTGTGTTTATTTTTGTTGTTTGGCTGGCTGTGATTTATTTGTTGATGCTTTACAAGTGGCGTTCGAAGTTTTGGTTGCGAATGCGAAGTGGCTTTAAAAACGCGTCTGGTCCGCGCCGTGGGTAAGCGCCGAATGCTGCATCCACCTGCTTTCTCGTAGCGAAACACTTCGCATGCGCAACGACGAGGCAAGCAGCGCTGCGACGGCGCTGCCAACGTTGTTGCTGTTGCTGCTGCTGCTGCTACGGCTGCTGTTGCTGCTGTTGTTGATGGCGAAATTTCTTCTTTTCATTGATAGGCAGCAATAGCAGCAGCCGACGCAGCAGCAGCAGCAGCAGCAGCAACAACAAAAACAACAACAACAAAATATGAGACACGAATACAAATACGGTAATTCAGTATCGGTATCGGTATCGGTATCGGTATCGGCTTTGCCGGCTGCTTCTTCGGTTGTTGCTGCTGTTGCTTGTGGCATGCGTTTTGTTGTCAGCGCTTAGTGTTGGTTTCCCCATTCGTCTGTTGTTGCTGTTGCTGTTGCTGTTTTTCATTGGGCAGACGGGGGCAACTTTCAGTTGCAGACGCATTGCATCGCATCGCATCGCATTGGACCCAAGTCCTCAAAAACAAAACAAAAATAATGTTTACACTTTCTATGCACCGCACCGCGCCACCGATTTGTGGCACCTCCGACCAAGGCAAACCATACACCTTCCCCAATACCAACTTATATCTTAAATATATTCTTTTCTTCAGTTATTCGAATCGAAAACATAAAAAAAGTCAACAAAAATCTCTGAAAATAAATATTTTGAGAATCTTAAAGTTTTTTGTAGTTTTTGTTTTTCTCATTTGATTTTAATGTTTAAATATTAAACTCATCTTCATCTAATATCAGCTCCAAAGATTTTGATTAACAAATACTTTTCGCTGAGTGGCTAGTTTTTTTCTGAGTGTAATCAAAGCAAACAATTTAGTTTCCTTGATAGTTTTGAGGGAGGAATTTGCGGAAGCGGAAACGAATGTTTACCGATTGAAATTTAGAATCGAAATCAGAATCGAAATTCAAAATTTGTCCATAGACCAAAATACTCGAACAGATCATATCCGGAACCAAAACACTATATGAGAATTTATATGCCAAATTTAAAGTCAGATTTGAACAATTTCGTACTCAAATTCAAGAGGAATCTTTAGAAACAAACAAGCTAAAAAAGTGTAGACAAATAGCGGAAACTTGAACATAAATTTATTTATTTTACGCACCCGAATCGAAAGTGGAATCGGAAGTGGAACCCCAAATTTGTTTCGGTCAAACCGAACAGAGATTTTTCAGTGGGTTTCTTGAGTCCACTCGCCACTCGCCACTCTCCAATCCCATTTCCATTCCCCAGCTTAGCTGCTGCAGCTGCAGCTTCTTCTTCTACGGTTTTTGCTGCTCGACTGTGCAGCGATCAGTTGCAAGTTGAGGTCGATCTTCACTTCACTTGTGGGCGGCGTTCCAAATGCCCTTCTGGGTGGCTTTCCTACTGATGATTTGATGTGGGTTGTCTCTCGATCGCTGCTGCAATTTCTGCATCTGCATCTGCATCTGCATCGGCATCGGCATCGGCATCTGTTTGGGCGGCTACCCAACAGCAGCCGCATCTGCAGCAACTTTGTGTTTTGTTTTTTTTTTTTTTGTTGTGTTTTTGTTTGTTTTTTTTTTATTCAAGTCGTCGCCGTAATGCTTAATCGATTGTTCCACTTTTCCATAAAATATTTTTGCCAAGTGCCATCGCATTTGGTGTTGCTTTGCTTTTGCCTTGCCTTGCTTTGTTTTTGCTTTTGTTTTTGGTTTTTGCTTTTGTTTTTTGCTTTTGTTTTTGTTTTTTGCTTTTGTTTTTGTTGATGACGCTGTTGTCTGAAGACGGCTTCAGTGGCACTCTTCCTCTTCAGGTGCTGCTGCTGCTGCTGCTGCACTTGCTCTGCTTGTGCTTGTGAATTGAAATGTTGCACAGTGTGGCCAAAACGGTAGATTCTAATTGAATTTAACATTTGACTTGTAGTGGAAAAATTGAACAAAAAAAAAAAACTATTTTATTTTATTTACAATTTATTTGACTTTTCTTTTTCTTTTTTTTTTTTTTTTTGTTGGCACTTCTAGTTCCGTCTTTGTCAACTGTTTATTTTGAAATGATCTTGGCTAAGCCGAAGCTTAATTAGCCCCTTGATCAGAGTTTGAATTATTATTAACAAAAGTTGAGATTTCGGCAGATTTACTCCAGTCTGAAGGGAAACAAAACCCGCTCCTTCCCATGGCATATGATATAGTGCTCCGATCCTATCTCTAAACTATGTCTGACTTTAGCAAAAAAAAAGGATATATATATATATATATTAATACATTATAGATGCTCGATAGGAAAGATACATCATATCATTGTGGGAAAGGTGAAAGTTGACCATAAAATAAAATCAACTCGCTAGAACTTGACAGAG